GCCAATACTCAGTTCCATCAAGTCGCGACAATATAAGGAACAGTCACCATGCGTTAAATACAGTTCTGGTTGTAAATTCAATTTAAATGAAGAATAAGACTCATATCTGCTACTACATTACAAGCTAAATGTCCATTCCTGAGTTAAGATATCAGTAACACGTTGCTTAAATTCTGACAAAAAATACTTCAACACTGCCAACACCCTCACACACTCAAACGTAACCAAATCCGTAGCTAAATAAAACTTGCTTAACCGATGAAACCCATGTATGGCGATCAACATTATCCAATAAGTACAACATTTCATATGCTTTACGTGGATACCTATGACTAGGCATACGAGTAACTCTAAGCCAAAATTTAACACATCTCAACAAGGAAGCCAAATAACATTCAGAGCCCTTGTAATAATGTTAAGGAACCGTTTAATCGCTAAATGTTGATTTCTCTCTACACACTCTAGACGCTGAAGGCCGGAAAAAACTCGGAACCGTATAGCAACATTGGCATAATCTGAGAATCAAATGTTCTAAAGAAAACCTTATAGGTAAACTGCTCATAGCAATACATCGTTCTTAAAACTTCAAATAAGGCTTTAAAATTCTTGGTCTTCATAACAAAGAAATTGCAGCTCTGTGGAAAACCTAGTTGGCTTGTAAGAACTAGGCCCAAATAGATATAATTAGAAACTACAACCACATTAGTCCCACTGTAAGTTCACTTTTAAAAACGCGATAATTTTCCACCTCTTCTGAAAACCATTATTTTAGTTTTAGACATATTAGCCGTCAAATCCCATGATTCACAATAACTTTGGAGAATATCAAGACGCTTCTGTACACCATTTACATTATCTGCAACAAAAACAACGTCATCTGTGAAAAGTAACAGAATGACTTCAATGATATCAGGATATATCTAAACACCCTACTGCTTGAATTAATTATTTCATTCGCCAACTCATTAATGAACAGGCACAATAGTACAGGACTCAAGACGCAGCCTTGCCTTACTCCATTCGGACATTCAAAGAAACCTGAAAGACCTTCGTCTTGACACAAGATTTTAAAAACTTATACATATTCTTAACGCTACAACACAACTTTCCCTTCAAACCAGTCCTGGCGAAGAATTAAAACAATTTATATCTATTAACACTATGAGGTGAGGTTAGGTGAAATTGGGTTTTAAGTAGTGCTTGAGAATAATTCGCTCATATGACGACGTGCATGCGTGTGTATGTGTAGGTGCGGCTGTTTGTACTAGCCAAAACTTAAGCTGGTCTTATAGTGCTAGCCCACTGAGATACCATGCCGCAGTGAAGCATGAATACCCCACTCAGACACATTATACTGACTCCGAGCCGACCAGTCCTTGATGTACCCATTAATGCTGAGCGCCAGGCAGGGACCAACAAGTACCATATTTTAACGTCTTTTGGTATGACGCGGTCGGGGATCGAACCCGCGACCTTCCGCTCTCCGGGCGGACGCTGTAACCACTACACCACGGAGGCGGTCTATTAACACTATGAAAGGCACCTGAATCATAAATAGTGTTGAAGAGCTTAACCATATAATCAATGAGAAAGAATTTACCATATAAAAACATTTCCGCCCAAAGTGTATCAATACCTGCTGATTTACCCAACTTCAAGTGCCTCAATGACAGAATGACCTCGTCCTGAGCTAGAGGACAATCAAACTGCTCCCCCTCGTCATCACTATCAACTGAATATGTATCCAAACAAATCCCACGATTCTCAACAAGGATGTCAGTTTTAGTTGACTCGCTACCAGCGCTGTTAAATAATGCAGGGAAATGAGTAACCCAATCTGCATATTCAAATTGTTAGAGAGTTATCTCCCCTGAGTATCCCCGGAAAAAAAAGTTGCTAAATACCAACAGTAAGTGTACGGAATTCGATGAAAATTGGATAAAGAACAACATGAGGATATCTGTCGATGTTTGGCGTGCCAGGGTCGGAACATTTGCGCCGCTTAAAGGAGTTAAACATATTGAAATTGTTCGATCCTACCAGTCTACATGTCAGTCGACGCAAGGTATTGACATTTTATGCAGACTACTTTTATGTAGTACTCTGCTACTCGGTCTGCTCACTGATAGAATCGACAGCGAGGAATTCACCATTCACCTTAACTCCACCAACTTCACTTTGCACTGTGTTTTTTCAAACTCTGTGACGTCACCAATGTTTACACATCGAAAACTGGACACCTGTGCTCTACCAAGTCAGTGTGTCATATTCTCACTGTTGCTCAAATCTGGAGATGATGAGTTGAGCCCAGGACCTGTCAGTAGGCAGCTTGATGATTAAAATCAGCAAAAGTTAAACAGATTAAGGATTCAGAGGAAAGGCTATCTAGAGATGTGAAATCAATAAGGGAGTACATAAAATCTCTCCAGTTGGAAATGACGGATTTGAGAAGTGAAATGAAAACAAACAAGGAAGAACAGGAGGGAATGAAACTTACTTATATGACAGACATAGAGGAGCGTATAGACGATCAGGAAAGGCGAAATCGGAGAAAAAATATGGTACTATATGATGTGCCAGAAAACAGAAATGAAACCTATACTGAAAGCAAGAGTAAGGTTTTAAACGCCCTAACAAAAGCTAGAGAGTCGACGGACCTACCCCCATTAGTACCCATAGATATAGAGAGAGCATATAGGATCACAACAAGTAACACTGGTAACACCAAGATAAGACCTATTATCATAAGGATGATGCATTAGGATGATAATGGAGATCTGTTAAAGTTGAGGGCCACCCTCACATAACAGGGATACGGAGTAGCAAACGACCTCACAAGATTCCAAAGGCAAGAGCTTTACAGACTCCGGACATAGAAGCCAGACGCCAGACATTTCTACAAAGTTAACAAATCTGTGCATGAGCTAAAAAACACAGGAACGAGATAAGACAAGACAGTTCTGAAGACCGAGGACAGGCCCGGACTTCTGGAAGCACCCTGACTCTCAGATTTGCCTCCAGAACCTCGGACAGGGGATAGTCACGATAGGGGTGTGGCCAAGGCGGATCGTGTGACAATGACTATACGGCGCTTCAGAAGGATTCGAGTGACAATGATAGTGACACTGATAAACAACCACTTACTAGCTGTGCTGGTGGTGTAAGATTCATGTTTTGAAACATTTCAGGTTTTTCACAGAAACTGACTGATAATGTGTTTCTTGATTACATTACATCCTTTGATGTTATTGGTGTAGAAGAGACATGGAGTAAGAATCTTGATTTTAGTGATGTATTTAATGATTATGATAGTGTTTGTAAAAGTGCAGATAAAGTAGCATTATGTGGAAGACTGTCTGGTGGTATGCTAGTTATGGTACGAAACAAATCTATCACATCACATAAAGTGGTCCAAAATAATGGATAACACAATATATATCTTATTTGATAAATGTCTCTTTGGTCAAGATGCTGACTTATTTTATAGTTGTACTTATAAACACCCAGAGGGATCTTCGTGGTACAATATATTAAATGCATACTGCAGAAATGATGTTACAATTTTCCAGGAGAAACTGTTAGAGCTAATATCTGATTTACCAAACATGTATGTGCTATGTGGAGGCGACTTCAATGCTCGAACACGTACTATCCTGATTTTGTTGACGATGACATTATTCTTCACACTGAAAGTAAAGATCACTCGATGTATGATTCTATACTAGATTGCTTTAGTCTTGAACGATTCTCCTGTGATAAGATTATGAACCATTTCGGTAGATGCTTGTTAGATATATGTAGTATTCTAAATATATACATTGTAAATGGTAGATGTGGATCAGATTTGAATATTGGCCAATATACATTTCTTGGTACAAATGGAACTAGTGTTATTGACTACGTCTTAGCATCGACTCTAATTTTTGATGGCATACAAAGTTTTGATATACCTTCACGCGCTCTCATTTACCACTGACTCTTGAGAACGAAAACGTAATGAAACTAAGACAAAAAGCAAAGCATTTAAATTTGTCTGGAAAATGGACAAGTTAACAGAATTTAGAAACAATTTTCTTACTGATGAGAAACAGAGATTATTTGAAAAATATATGGATGTAGTTATTACAGATATCAACAAGACCTCCAATCAAATCAGCAGACTTCTCAAGCACCAAGCAGGCATCAACCCCATCTTCACTGGCTCTCCAAGCCTCAATACCATCATCCAAGTCAATGGCCGTAACCCACCCTCCAAAAAGCAACCCCCCAAAGGAGTGATCTACAAGATTGATTGTGAATGTGGTGACTCCTATATAGGTAAAACCTCCCGCCCCGTTGATACATAAAACCTCAACAGCCAAAGCAGACAACAAATCAGTCCTCTCCGATCACCAACAGAAATTCCCTACCCATCAAGTCAGGTTTGACAGATTCGAAATCCTATCAACCAAGAATCAGGACCTCACAAAAAGAAAACTTCTGGTGGCCATAGAAACCTTTGATCAACAGAGACCAAGGATACTACATACCATCAGCCTATAAAGAATTAATCAAACTATAAACTCTATAAAGCACGCAATCAGCTTGTTATTACAACTTATTCCCCTATGCTTATTGGCTTCGTCACCAGTCTCATTTGTTGTTCTTAGTCTCCCACTGGCTTCTCCCAATCATGTACCAGTTGTTATTCAATTACATGTTTGTAGTTGTTGATGTTAATTTTCTGTTTGTCAAAACATACTATGTATATATATATATACCTCTCATCATCTGGTTCCATTCACTTTTAGCTTGATAACAATGCAAGAATGTACATAGAAACGTCGGTCCATGCAATAAATAAGAAGTTGTCATCCAAGTTGTATGTTTCATTTTTGAGTGGCCAACTTCTAGAATGCCGCGCAAACCATTAATCCTATCTGAACCAGACAATACAGTGATCATATACAAGATGTTAAGGAAATATTTTGAATGCCCGGTGTAATGAAGCAATAAAGATAGACAGCAGTATGTTTTATTCGTTAGATGTTACATGAGACGACATTTGTTCTCACGACATGGGAACTCTACAGGACTGGTTATAATGATTGATGGTAATCTGACAGCAAGAGAGGATGAATAGAAATTGAACCAAAGGTAGACAGCATTTCAGCTATATCATGATGTCAATTACCAATGACATGATTGTATTTATATTTACACTAGCAATAGCTGGTACGCCAAATAAACAACATATTAATCATTTACATTAATACAGCATTACTCCAGTTCAGAGTATTGGAAGTGAGATTCTTTCAGTGAATATTATGATCTTCAATATTGGCGTTTTCGCAGATACTGCGCCTTATAATTGAAGTTTGGGAATAACCGAGTTTGGGCCAGACAAACTAGTGAATGACATCGATGAAGGCAATAGGGTCACGATGACATGAAACAACCACACCTTATTACCGGGTTTAATTAGCTACCCATTACAAGCATTGGTTGCTGGGCGTATATTCTATACAGAATCCGCTTTTGTCACGAATAGGTTGTATAATGTTAGATAAAATATTGAAATAGCATATTTTCATCGTACTGTTTGGAATCGCCTGGGGTATTCGAAGCTCAACTGGTCCTCAGCAAACCACGTGTGTCACCACAACCAGCTAATGAGTACCAGGTATTCATAATGTGTGATGGTTTGCGTGTGAGGGAATATGGTTTTACGCCGCTTTTACCAATATTCCAGCAATATCACGGCGGAGTACACCAGAAATGGGCTTCAGAGACTGTACCCACGTGGGGAATCGAACCCGGGTCTTCGGCCTGATAAGCGAACACTTCAACCACTAGGCTACCCCTACCCCGGTTTGCGTGTCGGCATGTCCAGTAAATACTCTTAATATCCACCATTAGTTTGCCGGGGGAAGGCACGGACCTATACGTAATAGAATATATCTAAAATACTGTCGGCAGAGGTGTGAAACAAAATATGGTCACTCGTTCATAATACGAGAGTTGTTTTGTTAATACTTATTTCTAATGCACCAAAACAGTTCTAAATTGTCTGAAGCCCTGAGAACGCTTCGATGATGGATGATAGATACACAATATATAATAACAATGGCAGATAGAAGCTTCTTAGTGACGGAGACCTATACAAACGAGTGGTGAGTTTCTTTCAGGTTTACTGCTGTTAAAGTTTGGATGCAAATGCAGGATATAGATTGGATAGAAGAATCACGTCTTTTGTCTATTTACTTGGCATTCCAAGTTGGCAATTCATATCGAAACGTGTGTCGCATTTGCACTTCATTCCGTTGACTGTGTGCCACTCATGCAGGTCATAACAGTTGTTGTCACCAAGGATTTCGCATTGTTCTGGAACAGAAAACGCAGGGGTTAAACATGTCCCTCCTATTGTCTCATAAATTCCCAGCTATTATTATGATAACATTTCACCCATTTGTCTATAGATGAATCTTGAGGAATTACGTTGTTTTAATAAAACGCCTCCAGTACATTTATTGGAGTTTCATTGTAGATCATTTGATGTTTGAGATTCTCATCTTTGTGTTCAACTCTTTCAGTGGCCTGGCTCCAGTATACATCAGTAACTTGATCTCAGTTTACAACCCCAGAAAGCACCGAGACCCAACTCCTCGCGAGTGCTAGACATTCCACTGACGAGGGAAAAAAATGATGACATATTTTTTTTCAAAAGCAGGGTCGTGTTTGTGGAACTTGCCACCAAACATTCAGTACATTGAAGACCTTGAACTATTCAAGCGTGTCTTGAAAACACACTTTTTCAGTGCCTTTGCCTAAGCGTTTCTGAGCAAAGGTGTTGGAAGATGCGCTATATAAATACCAACTTTACTTTATTATTATTTCGAAATTGAATCAAAGATTATGAACCGACTGAATATGTATCATTTATTAACAATTAAAAGTATCTTTCATTAAGAAAGGTCATTTACTCTACATTTTGTATAATAAACATACGGAAAAAAACATGATGGTAATGTTCCTTTCAAATATATTATCATTCTATAAGTAGAATTCTGTACGTCTAACACATACTCCTTTCTAGGATTACAAGCATCAGGGAAATGACTGATTTCGTATTGCTATCCAATCCCTTCAGGAAAGATGGGAAATGGTGATTCATTCAAGATGGCATCGCTACGATGTATGGAACCAGGGGACATAATTCCGGTCAGGTGATCTCAGTTATATATACATCACAGATTCTAAGCGGGATGCTACTTTCATCGGATTTCATCTCATTGCCATCGGTATGCATTCTATCTATCTACCTACCTACCTACCTACTTACCTACCTAAGTACCTACCTAAGTATCTATCTATCTGTCTATCTGTCTATTATTAGTATCTTTTTTAATCATATAATAAAATACAATATATATTTTATTATATGAATATAAAGATACTAATCATAGACTATCTATCTACCTGTCTATCTTTCTATCTAACTTTTCTATGATTAGTATCATTTTAATTATATAATACAATACAATATATATTTTATACATATAAAGCCACTTATCATAGACTAATTATATTATATTGAATTTATATTACTACAGTGCATATATTGCTGTCATTCCCTGCTAACGTGGTCTTATTTCTAAACAAAATTAAATATGTACACCGGTGTCTTTTTTGTTTTGCTATATATACTACTCATCAAAAGTTTAGACTCACTTAAAGCACTCATATGTTACATTTATATATATGGTTACATCGAAGATGAATTTCTCTCTAACTTGGGGGGAACCAACTGCAAATCTTATGCAGATGAACTGCACGAGGATCATGCATCAAATTGCTGAAAATAGCAGCGAACAGCCGCGTTTGGGTGTAAAGATTTGTTAGGAATTCGCCAATTTTGACTGAATTTCATCACTTATTGAACTCAGGACAGTAATCTTTTCAACGTTACGAATTTGTTTTACACTACACCAGTTCATGTGTAAACAGTACCTTTTAACAATTTGGTATATTTTGCAAAATCCAGTTTAGAACAGTTGACTGATGTAAGTGGATGCATGAGTCCAAACTGTTGATGGGTAGTATAGTAAAAGCAACAGAAAACATACCTTCTGCATCCTCGTCAATGAGCCACACATGAGTCTTCCCGTTCATAGAGTTGCCATCATTTGGACAGGTGAACGCATCACAACCGTAAGGCGTCAGACCATTAACACAGCCGTTGTCGCCCATACACCCTGCAGCCGCATCCAATTATATTTAACAATACACGACGCGCCTTGTGTTTACTCGTTAATACTCTCAAGTATTTATGTTAAAATAGCTATATTGTATTTCCTATATGGAATATTTTAAAGGAAAACCAAGTTCTACGGATAGTCAACTTCTTTATTGCAATGAGAGCGACGTTTCGGTGTAGGTACTAACACTATTATCAAGCAAGTGATACAAAGAGTTGTAACATGGAGAATATATACATAGCTGCATAGTGTGTGTAAACAATTGACAAGTTTTTTTTGTTTGGTTTTTTTGGTTTTTTTTGCTGCGTGCATGTTTATTGATACTCGTTAACCCAACAGTCGCCATTTTACAGAACTCTTTTCTCAACTACCATTAAGCTACTGCATGGTTTTCGATGCAGCCATAGTGTTTATAGTGACCATATACCAACAGGGACTTGTGTCGGCATTTTTTACTGCAAACTGTATTCTGATTATTGTTGTTGCACATGCTGCCCAAATTGTTGTTGCACATGCTGACATTCGTCCGCATAATTTTATTTTATTTTATTTATTTTTTCAATCAATTTTTTTTATTTTCATGAAAAAGTAAAGTCTTCCATCATAAGTTGTATATAATGTCATATCTGATATATCATAAGTATATAGTATTACATCCCATATGTCATGTTGTAAATAGCATCATATATGAACATATCACATTGTTTTATAGCACCACATCTGACATATCAAGCTGTATATTGTGTCACATCCAACATATCATGTTGTATATTGCATACACATTCAACATATTTTGTTGTATACGGCGCCACATCTGACATACCACGTTGTATATAGCGCCACATCTGACATATCATACTGTATATAGTGCAACACCCGACATAGCATATTGTATATAGTGTCACGGCCAATCTATCGTGTTGTACATAGTGTATTATCTGATATACATTGTAAATATGTCTTATCTAACATGTGTTGTATATAGTGCCACAATTATTCTGACATGTCATGCTGTGTCTTGTGTCACATCCAATGTGTTGTGTTATATACTCTGCAAAAAAAGAAACGCACAGGTGAAAACTCAGGAATGTAAACACTTTATTTTGTTTCCAAATAAAACTTTAACTAATGATCGCACGAACGTAAAATTTCACATGGATGTTGTCAAGAGTCAGCTTTACAACATGCAGCTATCATTTGTCTCTGAAACCATTGCACCGGGCGTACAGATGGCGTGGAGGTCAGTACCTGTTGTGACCACCTCGAGCTTGCAACACAGCTTGGCACCTCCTGTCCATGGACATGATCAGTCTTTGAAAAAAAAACACTTTAAAAGAGTGAGTTTAGTCTTACGCCGCATTCAGCAATATTCCAGATATATGGCGGTGGTCTATAAATAATCGAGTTCTGACCAGACAATCCAGTGATCAACAGCATGGCCATCGATCTACGGAATTTCGATATTTCGATATGTGTCAACCAAGTCAGCGAGCCTGACCACCCGATCCCATTGGTCACCTCTTACGACAAGCATGGGTTACTGAAGACCAGTTCTAACACGGATGACTTCGTAAGAAACATCAAGACATACCTGACTGATCAGTGACGACGCTCACTCCGTCAGCGGCACATCGATACTTGACACAATTTCCGGTCACGTCCAGGGTGAAGTCACTGTCCAAGTCTTTCGACGCCCCATTCACGCTGCAACCGTCGTCATTGACGGTGTACCGAATCAGAGCTGAAGAAGTTGATGGCATGAATTAATATTAAACACAGCAACATGTTCATTCTGTGTTAAAGTACATTGAGATGATTTATGCTTAGGGTACGGTTACACAGAACCGCGACCCCTATACGGTCGTGCTACTACCATCGGAATCGTGAATCGCAGAGGGTCGCGGTGAGTCGATCCTTTGATCCTTTGCGGTTACACCAAAAATCAAAAATCATTTGCTACTGAATTTCAAGTGATAACAAAACAACTCACCAGTTTTATTGATTACGACCGCTCTTATTCGTCTCATTGATCTTAATCGGGTCTCAATAGAGTCGCTTCTACTTTACGATGCCTATATGGGTGTTTATTAGCGAGTGTGCTACGACACAGTTGCGACCCTCCTTGCAACCATTAGAGCTAAACTTAAGCTTGCTGCCGCATTGAGAGTGCTGTATGAACCTTTGCCGATCGTTGTGACCATCGGCGATCGCTGCGAGTGTATACGACCAAGATGCAACTCAATCAGGATTAGTAGGAATTCCTAAAACTTTGCGATCATTGAAGCAACCGAATGGGGAGTCTGTCACGATCAATGAGACCAAATTGAGAGTGCATTGAGACCTGTGTGATTTCATTGCGACCGCATTTGAGACCCTCTTGCGACTGTCATCGGTCGCACAACCGTTGCGACTGATCACAGAGACCATGTTTGAGGCCATGAAGACCGCGCTGAGACTAACTTGCGACCGTATTGCGAGTCTTTGCGAGTGATGGCGAGCAGAAGCAAATTTGCGGTCGTAACTCGATCGCAAGCTCGGTGTAACCGGGGTGTTAGCGAATGAGAGAAATTATTAGCTCTTTCATTAACGGAAATGTACTTGTCTGCGTGCTTGTTATACATTCAGAAGTTATGTAACAGCATCTTCTATGGACTTTCTGAAAAACTTCTATCAAAACTCCAGAAAGTACAAAACTCTGCAGCTCGACTTGTCAGCAAAGTTCCCTCTAGGATCCACATAACACCTGTTCTTAAGTCTCGTCACTGGCTACCAATCAGAGCCAGAATTGAATTCACGGTCCCGAGTCTTGCCTACCAGTGTTACCATCTTACGGCTCCAGACTACCTTGTTGAGCTAGTCACCAAAGCACAATCCTTCCAGAATGTTAAGATCGGCAGATAGACACCTTCTCACCATTTCCAGACAGAAACTCCGGACATTCGGGTTTCGCTCCTTCAGCTATGGAGCTCCACAGTTGTGGAATCAACTCTCGACTGAACTCAAAATGTCTCCCTCCATTGACTCATTTAAAAGTTCCCTGAAAACCCATCTTTTCAGAACATAATACAATCTATAACTTAACTTTTCAAAAAAATTCACCCTCGTTCTAGCATAACCTTTGCTTTGTAAATATTTGTAAATATGTAGCGCTTTATTATTATTATTATGTATCCATAATTTTGAAACGGTAAATAAGCGAAATGTGTGACATTGTTAATGATATAAACCTTTTCCAACTCGCCTTAGAGGATCGGTGAAAGGACAAAGTGCATTGCCCGTCTAGGAATGTACCTTGTCGTCCTCGACAGGCTTGCTGTATTCATGTCAACTTCAACCTCTTCATGCATCAAGATAATTAAATTTGGTTGGAGGTTAAAACATATACATGTTCAACAATGTGATGGAAATGGTAATGATCGATCGCAATACAATCATAATATCAGAATACTAACCTCCCCCTCACACACCCTCTCTCCAACACGCATGCACGCAAACACACATGCACACATACGCACACATTCTCGTTCGAGACAAAAAACATACAGGGTAACTCTGCTCTGGGCAGAGTTGCTGCCGTCATCGCGTGCTCATGCTCCCATCAAAGGGAATCGTTGTTCTTAGTTACAAGGGGCGGTGGGGTAGCTTAGTGGTTAAAGCGTCCGCTCGTCACATCGAAGGCCCGGATTCGATTCCCCACATGGGTACAATGTGTGAAGCCTATTTCTGGTGTCCCCAGTCGTGATATTGCTGGAATATTGCTAAAAGTGGCGTAAAATAAACTCACTCACTCCTACTTACAACAACTGGTTTGCTTGTTCCACACTCGGTAATGTACTGGTTTTAGTCTGATCTCTCAAATATAGCTTGGAGGGGAGGTAAACAACAAACACACACACACGCACGCACGCACACACGCACGTACACACATACACACACACACACACGCACACACAAATAGAGCAACAAATAGAATGATAATGATGTGAAGTTGTTCATACCATACGGATCGAGGTTCAGATTTAGTGGCACAATCATGTTCGACGTCACCATGGACACCAAGTAAAGGACAGCAAACCCGATGACAACTTGCATCTTCATAGTGCCACAATGAAACTGGAAAGAAATATCATTCGGTTTAAGAAACTAAATAGATACTAGTACATCACGCGGTCAAAGGTACATTATCATAATTCATTTTGTCGCGCAAGAGGTCCGCAGACGCAATCCATGACAATAGCGTTTAATAACATTCCAGTAGATGGCATATAATATTTCGCTTGATATTCGTTGTTTCTGTGAGTTTCTATCACGCAATATATATTGATTGGGGACATTCATTGTGATAATCGGATATCCCCTAAAGAAACGTTCCATGAGAAATGCTCTGAAACTAGCTCAGTATTATGCAAAACAATTATACAAAACCTGCATATTTGAACATTTGGGAGGGAATGGATTTATCCCTGGTGATTTTAACATATGAATTATCTGTTAATCGGTACTTGGCCAGCCGTTGCCGAGGGTGATACTCTGTATTTGTCAATAAAACCACCAGTGATGAATTCTGTGTATCATTTTCACATTACTGTTTCCCGCGTAAGAAATACATGCATTCAAATTAACATCATAATCTTACGTACATATCGTGTGTAGTAATAGGTTTCCATTGCCATGTGGGTCGAAATAGACCAACCTGTTAACTCCTTTTGGGCATTTCCGTGAGGAAATCCTTGAACATAGTTTGTAGAAGAACTGAAACTTTAATAACGCAAAAACGTTTCTGTGTCATTTAATTATATCTTTGGTATCATTTCACGATACTTAGTTTCTGACTTCCGTGCGTCGGAGACAAACAGTCCCACTTCCGGTTATCTAATTTGCATATTTGTCTCATCAAGGTACGACACAGATGTGTTAATGCCATAAAATAACATCACGGATAAAGGCTTTGGTTAGTAGATCGTCGCCAGTTTCATTTTACTGTTCCAACACCATTTCATCCAGGTTCATTTAGAGTGAGGTGTTGCAGAATGTGCATTGGGCATTTCAAGATGTTTAATTCTCAAGTGCTTGTGGTTGCCAAGCTCCTTCACGATGCTCCCAGCCTGTTGGTCATTTCATCAACTTACCCTTTTGGTTGTGCTATGCTTGAACATTTCACATGTTTTCAGTTACAATGCACCAAACAGATTTTTCAAGACGGTGACGACTCTAATCAAGGGTGGTTTGATCAAGGTAACATTCAAGGTAATCAAGGTTTAATCAAGGTAACATTAAAGTCCGACAAAAGCTTAAAAAAATGTTATGTTATATTGACACATTGAGAACATTTCCACATTTACTGCATCAGTGACAAGAATATACGATCCAGTTCCTATTTTATATTTTATTTTCCGTGAGAAAAATTAACTTGCCCTTGCATGTGTTTGTACAGATTGCACTTTTAATACTAATAGGATCGACTCATAAATAACCGCCTCCGTGATGTAGTGATTTGAGCGTCCACCTGAGAGCGGAATGTCGCGGGTTCGATTCCGGCCGCGTCATATCAAGAGACGTTAAAATATGGTACTTGTTGGTCCCTGCATGGCGCTTGGCATTAATGGGTACAACAAGTACTGGTCGGCTCGGAGTCAGTATAATATGTCTGAGTGGGGTATTCATACACTAACTGCGGCATGGTATCTCGGTGAGCAAGCACTATAAAACCAGCTTAAGTTTGGGCTAGTAAAAACAGCCACACGCATGCACGTCGTCATATGAGCAAAATATTCTCAAGTACGACGTTAAACCCCATTTCATCTCACCTCACTCATTGATAATTTGATAAATGGTACCTTAAGACGAAGTAATGGCTTTCATTAGTTTCGTGGACATTTGTATGCTGAATATTTTGCTACCCCGGCGATGTTCTATGAATAATCAATCTATTAATATAATCGTGAGCAGGTATAAAAATGCTCTTCCATATTGTGGAACAATCCCTCCATACAACATCCAGGACATATGCGAGCTTGAGTTCCAGGGAGTGCTAAAAACACAGACTTTCGACGGTGTCTGCACACGAAGCAGACATCTTGGTTTGAAACTGTGCACATAAAGCAGACCTTGTTTTGTCCTTTGATGTTCACCGATCTGGTGTTGCAACTGATTGGTGTTTGTTTAGTGGCTTAAAAATGAGATTTCTTGATTGACTAATTAACTTAGTGAAAACTGATCAATCAGGTATCACAACTACATGTACATTGAACTGTGTTCAAAATGTCACCTGTCACCTACATTGCAGAAAACCGTGTTCAAAATGACACATGTCACTTAATCATAATAATATGAAAAGTGTTCATTGGAATACTACATTAAGAAAATGGTAATTTCGACACTGTCCTTGCCAGAGCGCCTCTGGGCAATTTCTTGGAATGGGCGCTATATAAATATTAATTTTATTATATTACATAGCCATGCTAACCTCGTAGTATACATTTATTAACTGCAGTAGAATGGGTCCAGTGAGTGTTCCCTATGTTTCTACTTACCGACCGCCTTGTTCCCGTGAGTAGAATTACTAGTTTAGTGACGCCTTCTCATTTTATAACACTTTGGATCGACCAATCATTCCGCACGCCAAAGGATGCACCATCTGTGGTACATAATATTGTATACGTTATTTGATTTTTATTGACAATCGTTGCAGAGAATGAGCTTGTGCTATTAAACATGGCGATTTATGATGGCATATGGTGAAACTATTTTCCATTCCCGACAGCGAGCATTCAACCATCAAGCTTACAACTATAATGGTACTTATATCCTGGAGCATAATAGAAGACCATACAGACGATTGCTATGTTTACTTATATTAAATTTATTATTCACCAATATCTTGACTCTGGGTTCACAAAGTACGCGTACGAGACGCAAGAGGTCACAATGTATGCGAAAGTTGGAAGACTAAGCATACGTTATCTGGTTTTAATTGAAATCACCTCAGACTTCTGTATTATCTCCTGCTAGAAGTTAATCCTTCACTACATCAAGATACACGATGTAGCTGTTTGTAAGGATGCTATGTCAACAAACACCCCCGTTTTGGCTTTGTATAACGGCTAAAATTAACCATAATCGGCATCCTTCGGTTTGTTGTATTTTGTAAGGCTGACAATGTTATAATGAGCTATACTAAGAGTCTACTAATATACAAAAAAAGACAAACACAACAGGCATATATCAGAGAGAGCAGATTGTTTGTGTGGCCACCCTACTGAAGATGCACGTCATTATTTCTTTGTATGTCCCAGATTTGACGCTGTAAGAATAAATAAATTTTATTATACCAATGGCTTTTCATTAGAAACAATCTTATACGGAACGTCTTCCATGGACCCACAAATTCAATCACATATCTTAAAATCAGTCCATCTATTTATAATTGAAACTAGGCGCTTTAACTGAGCAAGTCATACACTAAAACCTATAATTCTCAAAGCTATACTACTATGGATCCCGACTGCAGATGCCATGAATGTATACAACCATCATGATGTTAATTTTCCGACTACATGTCATACAATCTACTTTCATTTTAGATATCATCGTTTCTTGTCATGATACTGTTTCATATATCTATGTATATTGGATCGGTCTTCATATCAGTTCTTTTGAGCTTGTTGACCAATCCAGTTCATGAAAATTCTGTCTTTGCTTTTTCATGAAGTAAATATGTTTAAATCACAAAAAAGCAGAATATATCACATGAACCTCATTGGCCGTTGTCATGGGATATTTTCTCACGCTGACATTGCCTATACAACAACGCGGCAACAGCTGAATTAAGCAATGAAAATGACGGAACATGACAAATCAGCCACTTGTGTCAGTTGGTAGCCCGTTACAGCTATATACCCTGCCATTATAAAGGCTTGGAAATACAACAATGCAATGAGCAAATTTAGAAACACAACAATAACAGGATGCAGATGAATAGATTTCAAACCACGGATTGATAGGTGTCTCTATATTATCAAGTTCTAATTGAATCGAGATTGAAAGATTCGCATGAACACAGATGAGTTTTTAAATTGTATGATATCATAAATCATTAGATGAATCTATTTGGCAACATCTGTTGAAATTCAGGAGTGCGTAAATCTAAACTATTATTACGACTTCACATAAAACGTTCCTTTGTCATGACGTCATTTGTACAAATGATTAATGGAACTATATCCGCCCAATTTTTAAATATATGTAGACTTAAACAGGGCTCTGTTTACCGTCTGAGCGTGATGAAGATCATTCAGATTGTGTTTAACCTTGACCTTCTGACGCGTGTAAACCTGGAGTGTTTCTTGTCTGGATTCATGACTCAGAGTGATGACAAATCGCTCACGAGAGTCTTCTCTTCGTGTTGTACACATGATTAACAAAATGATACGGAATGGTAGTGTGCAATAATAGACTTACAAATCATCAAAAGCATGTACCCGTGAAACTGTCGTGCAAAATGTGCTGCACTGATGGAGCAAAATGTTTACACTAAAGTTCAAATCACTAAGAAAGTGTAATCCCAAATGTAGCATATGTTACAATTGACCACTTTCTAAATGGCATTGTGTAATCATAGGTTTCGGCCGTGTGAGCCGTGCCAATTTACACTTATCAGAGGGGTACACAAAGTCCGCAGTCTAGACTACCTGTTCGAATTCCATTTTTGTGGAAATCGCGGTGGCTGAGCGGGTTAGGCGGGGACTTTGTGTGCTGGCGATTAGGTGCCTGACTCTGAGGTTGTGGGTTCGAGTTCCGCAACACAACACAAGTACAAGAATCTGTACTTTATTAAGAAAGTGTAATCCCAAATATATAACATATCATGTTTGTATTTTTGTATTAATTTTATAATAATTCCATGGTAGGCGTATCTATACCCCAGTTGACAGCATACGCGATCTAAACTAACAGCGAACAAATGCATGTGGACATTAATTGACAGCAATTTCTCACTTGTGCAAAAACATTGTAATGTAATGTAATACAAAATACTGCAAAATTTATATAGCGCCCTATTTGATGTGCAGCTACATCACTCTAAGGCGCTTAACAGTCAAATTGGTGGCTATTGAGCTTATTCACACTTGAACAGATAGGTCTTAATGTTCTCTTTGAAGTTGGTGATTGATGTGATTGTAGTCGATTTCCGATGGCAAAACTAAATTACAAACTACAGTCGATTGTATCCAACAATATGTGCAAGCACCTCAGACAGGTATGTCTATTACATGTGTGACTGAGGTCGATGTGTTTGGTTAACTGTGCTGAACTTGAGGTCAAATATCTGATGCTCATGTCAATTATTATTTATTTGACAAATCAATTATCAAGGGCTGTTGCCAATACATGTGTCATTATGACATATTCAGTGTTATACTATTGAAACATATCATAAATATGTATTGAATATGTGTCTATGCCTGACCGCCAGATGTATGTGATATCAACAATACAACATGTCTGAATGTAAACAAGGTCGTAATGTTGTGAGTTCTGTACCACTGGACGACGCGACCGTACATTGGCACAAGGCTGGACTCGTTAACAGGAAAGAACTTTAAAAATGTCGAATTTTAGTGTACTTCAGGAAACGTATGTGTCTGGGTCTTACACGATTGTTTTACATAATATAATGACATAATTGCTGGTGTGGCGTTATAAAACAAGCAAAATATGTACATGTAAATAATCACCCTGTGTCAACGATGATGAGATCCAACAGACGTACGACGTTGAACAGACACGAAACATGCACGTCACTACTATGTATTAGAAGAAAGATAAGTATTGAGGACAAACATCATACGCGAAAACGTTTATGTTTGTGAAGAAACAGCAGAGTATGTACATGTAAATAATCACCCTGATGTCAACGACCTGTCTAGATACGACGTTGAACAGACGTAAGTAATCATGTATGTCACGGAAAATCTGACAATTATTCGGATAATCTATTTTGCATTTTACTGTAATTATTCATACGCCGGTGATCACGAAGTATACACGTCACTACTTAGTATTAGAACAAAGAGAAGTATTGAGGACAAACATCACATGTAAAACCGTTCATGTTTGTGAACAACATCAAACTGATATACTATTAAAATAGAAGATGTCAACAGCGAGCCTTATATAGCACAACGTTTAAAAATTAATAGGACAACCAGTCGGAACACTCTAACCAGATGTCGTTGCCACTGGACACGAGTGCTTCCCAGTTCAGAGTCTGAGGTTGATTCAACTGCGGTCGTACTCGTCTTACCAGCTCATCCCAAATGTGTTCAGTTGAGATGTAAGTCTGGGGAACGTGAGAGCCAGTCCATGTCATCGACAACGGCGTTACGTATGGCATAATGATACCTCTGAACGACTACCAGTTGAGATCGCCCGTTGGCATAATCTGTTCCTCAAACCATTACGCTGCTCTCTTCAAACCGGTTATCTTTACGAATACATCGGCTATATAACGCAAGGCGAAACGTGACTGGTCATTGAGGACAATTTAGATTTCGACTTCACTTGGCGGTCAGCAGCGGTGCCGTGAAGATCCGGGTTAGAATTGATCTTCAGTAACCCATGCTTGCCGCAAGGGGCGACAAACGTCAACTGGTGGTCAGGCTCGCTGAATTGGTTGACACATGACATCGTATCCTAATTGCGTAGATCGATGCTCAAGCTGTTGATCACGGGATTGTCTGGCCCAGACTCATTTATTTACAGACCGCCGCCATATAGCTGGAATATTGCTGGTTGCGGGGTTAAACAACAACCGAACCGGAACACTGCTGACAGCGGCGGAATGTCACGAACAGACATTACAAAGTAATGGTCAGAGATGACCATCCTAATGGTCAGAGATGACCAAAGTAATGGTCAGAGATGACCGTTACTTTTAACGTGCGAGAAAGGTTACACAACCCATCCACTGTAAAGGTGATATTTATTTTCTTGAGACTAAAAGTTGCTATGACAATCATGATATATATATATATATAAAACAAACATTATCTACTGGCATCTACAAAGCACGTACTTTGTGAATTCAGAACGCTACTGCATACTATTGTCTACCAGAGAAAACACACAATGCGTTTTGAAATAAAACAATAAAATTAAAAATCATGTGGAAACTCATTGACAGAAGATGTTTCTAAACCTCATTGAGAAGACAGGTACAGTGACATAACCCGTGAAGATCCGGGTTAGAATTGGCTTTCTCATCCTAACGAGGTACCCATTCACACCTGGGTGGACTGGGACACATAGTTACAGTACTTTGTCCAAGTTCACTGCACGTTCGTGTACCCGCAACTAGGTGTTTGCACGTATTCATGTGGCCACCATCTGGTCATATACTAACAGATTCGTGGGTTCTTTTAAGTGCACAGGGTTGTGTACTGTACACTAGGGGTTGTGACAACACCGAAAGAGTCTGCACACAAAGTTGACTCAAAGGGATTTTAGACCCTGTCAGATGGGCTCGATTCCAACTCCTCTACCTCGCTGGATCACTAGCCTGGCGCCTTAGCCAGCTCGCCCACCGTGCCCCATAACCGGATCGGGTGGTCAGACTCGCTGACCTGATTGACATATGTCCTCGTATCCCAATTGCGAAGATCGACGCTTATTTTGTGGATTGTCTGGTCCAAACTCGATTAAGTACAGACCGTCGTCATATAGCTGGAATATTGAGCTGCGTTTAATAACAAGCTAACACACAGTGACATAGTTAACTACTTGTGACCCGGCCGCAGTTGACGCTGCTCAACCACTTCTGTATGCTGCCGATTATATGGCAACACTGATACCATTGGAACAGCTACTGTGTAAGTGAACAACTATAAGAAAACCCACTTATCTCACAAATTCCATCTACAATTGTTTCACCGAAATCCCATGTACCCATGTTGGGAATCGATGTGACGAACGAACACTTTAACCACTAGGCTACCCCACCGCCACCCGTGAACATTCAAACACGTGTTGCTTGTTTGTAGCCTGATGCTTATACATATATGCATGCACATGTTTCTGATCTGCACATATATAACTGTCTGGTTATATCTGATGACAGCTGCTGTCCAATTCAAGTCGACATAAATACTTCACAGTCGGAAAAAACAAATAACGTGAATGAAAACAATACCGCGTAGACAATATGCTTTAGGAGAATAGTGTTATTAAATGCGCATACCAGTTATGTGCACATACATACACTGCATATGTTACAGTTAATGTGTAAATCAGTCAATTTGTGAATTGCCTGAAATGTTCAAATTTGCAGAAATGTACAAATTGCCTGAAAATTTAGTCGATATATTTGACAGATTGACTGAAACATGTTTCAATGTGTAATATCATTATTAGTGTATAAAAATCTTTTAGAGAAAACCTAAGACACAGACACTCAAGGGATATCTTTATTGACATATAACAATATTTCAACAATATTTGGTTCATTATATTGATCACCTTACCTGCCTTTCTTTAGAAGAGCTATAACAATCAGCTGCAATTACAATGGATGGGAGGGCGGTGGGGTAGCCTAGTGGTTAAAGCGTTCGCTCGTCACGCCGAAGACCCGGGTTCGATTCCCCACATGGGTACAATGTGTGAAGCCCATTTCTGGTGTCCCCCGCCGTGATATTGCTGGAATATTGCTAAAAGCGGCGTAAAGCCAAACTCACTCACTTACAATGGATGGTGATGGTAAACATGACTTAATAAGCGATTGTTTCACTTCATACTCCCTAACAGGCTCGCTGGCTTGGTTAACACATGTCATCGGTACCCAATTGCCCAGATCGATGCTCATGCTGTTGATCGCTGGATTGTCTGGTTCAGACTCAATTATTTACAGACCACCGTCATATAGCTGGAACATTGCTGAGTGCGGTGTAAAACTAAACTCACTCACTCACTCATACTCCCTAAAGCCATGGAAACTGACTTTCATTCAATCTGTCAAATAAATCGACTAATCTTTCAGGCAATTTACATATTGACAGAGTGAATCAAGCAATTTACAAATTGACTGAAACGTTCAGGCAATTCACAAATTAGCATGATTTTACACATTGACTGAAACACATATTCATGTAATTATTGCCCAAGAACGGATCATGTACAGAACATAGATGAAAATAACAAAGCACCATGTGCAGCTGCAATCTGATGCAACTCTGGCCCGGTAATACTCCGGTTTCTTATTAATACATACCAACAAAGGGAGTACATAATGATACATTGAACGAGCATCTGTTCATGTTGGATAATATTTCAGCCATATGACTACTGTTATAGCGACAGTAAAACAAAGGGTATCACAGCAGATATAAAACTAGTAAGGATACAGCCGCTCACAATCACAGTTGCTAATTCATACTACCATGTTTAAAATACCATTTATATATTTACAGAACTTATTATTCAAAATTTATGAATAATTCTATTTCTTTTAAAAAAACAATTATTAAATGAGAATTGACAGTATAAAAAAGATCCTTCAGTGTTTTGACACTGAAATATTTATCCCTTGTGATGGAAAAATCAATGCAGTCAAGCAGGACATGCTTGACCGTGATTCGTTCATCACAAGGGATACAGAATAAAGGATCTTCACCTTTCAACAAATACTCATGTGTATATCTTGTATGACCAATGCGACATCGTCGCATGATGACCTCCTCAAACCTGGACTGACAACCCAAGTAGGTGTGACCGATAGTTGGTTTAATTTCGTGTAATTTATTGATACCTACCTGGGTGTCCCACTTCTTTTGCATTAGATCTCGGATATATGATCTAATCACGGCTTTATAATCAGAATATGGGATAAGAAGTGGGGTCACAGATTTGTTGAGTGCTGCCTTGGCAGCAAAATCGGCCATTGTGTTACCTGAGATTCCTACATGGCTGGGTAACCAACAAAAGACGATGTCGCATTGGCCAGTAGCAAGATCATTATATAATTCAACGATTTCAATTAAAAGTGGATGTTGAGAAGACAAATTTTTAATAGCCTGCAGGCAAGAAAGAGAATCTGAAAATATTATGTATTGTTTAGATTTTGGGTGTTTGTTAATATATTTAAGAGCTGTGAGTATGGCATTAGCTTCCGCTGTGAAAATAGAGCTGTTGTCAGGTAATCTAGAAGATATTGTTTTTGATCCAATAACAGTGGCACAAGCCACTGTGCCACCATCCTTGGACCCATCTGTAAATAGGACTTGTATGTAGTATATTTACTTTTGATTTGAATATATTCCTGTTTATATTGTAATTCATTGGTTTCTGATTTCTTAAAATTTGTCAGAGTTAGGTCAACTTCAGGCCTCACCAGCTGCCAAGGAGGAGAAGAAAGAAGACGAGAAGGAGATATATTTTCCAGCGCAATGCCGGCAGCAGAAATGAATGGTTTAATTCTGTGCCCAAGAGGCGGAACTAGGGAAGACTTTTTTAATAGATCCTCATAAAGAGGATTAAAACACATTTATATGCCGGGTTAGACTCACTAGAATATAGTTTTGTGATATATTGTAACGATAATTTTATACGGCGTTGTTTGAGAGATGGCTCATCAGCCTCTACGGAAAGACTGTCAATAGGAGAAGTTCGGAAAGATCCAACACAAAGTCTGAGACCTTGGTGATGAACAGAATCTAATAATTTAAGATTGCTTTTGCAGGCTCCACCATAAATGATGGAACCATAATCGAGTTTAGAACGGACGAGTGATCTGTATAAGTGAAGGAGGGTTGACTGGTCCCCACCCACTTGAGTTTGAAACTACCTTTAATAAATCGAGTGCCTTCAGACATTTAGCTCTCAGAGATTTAATATGTGGTAAGAAGTGCTGAATGAATGAAATCGGAATGAAATTTCGATCTGAGAAGACCAGATGCTGATGATACGTCTGAATGTTTGATACGACATCAATACCACGTAGCTTTACATGTAACACAAAGCGTTTGTCATTTTTCGTGCATATTAGAAATTACAGAAAGGTATGGTTTGGGTAACGTGCATTGTGTCTTCATGATCAGAAAAACGTGATACGTACTTTTTTTATTTCAAAACAACTCTCAGTTTTACATATACGTGCGCTGGGGAGTCGAGTTTCATTGTGAGGTGAAGAGCTGTTGATGAAAGTTGACTTGAGGGAACATATGGGTCTCGAACTATGTTTATGATTGGTCAAATACTGCTGACGAATAATCCTTGGAAACGTGGTGGGAACGTGGCAACACAAGACTTTCAGCTGCATCGGGAATATTGAACTGGACATTGTATGCATCGAGCGTGAGTGTGACGCTTTGCAATTGAGTTAAAGTTATTCATAGATTGTCAACTGTAAACAAACACACAGCCATCTTGATCAGGAAAACAAACCTTAAATTTGTTGTTGCGAACTTTCTGTTGAGAGAGACAATAATATATGAATGTTTATTAGAATTCAGTCTGTTATTAGGTTTTCATTGTTAAATGCAGGTGCTGAATAAGTATAAGCCAAAAAAGGACATCTTTCTGGGGCATCGTGCGTGTCCGTTATTTTTATTGCCAAAAGAAAATATTTTCAAATTCATCGCATTAAGTGAAACACGTTGATCATGTTTGATCAGTGTTATTATATACAGAATTTCGAAGGGCAATTTGCGTGATTTTGGGTATACCTGTACGTCACTGGGAAAAAAGCGCTCCTCATTCAACACCTCGGTTTTTAATATAGAATATACAAAAACAGTCTTATGTACCTCAACTCTGAGAAACATGTGCCCTAGATATTTATGCTTTTGATACATGGTCATATATGCTCCCCTTTGTGGCCTACCTTTAGAATACAGCACCACAAACTTAGGGCTAGGGCTAGGGTTAGGGCTGAGGGTTTAGGGTTTAGGGTTAGGGTTAGGGACCCTAATCCAATATAGTAGGTATATGTCCGGTGTAATACGTGAGTACCATTTTATTTGTTTTTCCTTTTGCATTTTAATACTTTTTTTTTCACCCAAACACGGGAAACCAAAACCGTCGAAAGTACATTATGAAATGGGTTAATGTAGAAATTTTGGGCTAATGGAAATTGGCCTGGAATTTGCATTGAAGCCTCTTTCACACGCAACATAAATTTTGTAAAGTAATGATTCGAAGGCTAACTCACCCTCGTGCCGTCACTACACATGCTCATGTCTCCCTCGTTCCTTAGTGCGATTCACATTATCCTTTACAGTGTTCCCTACATCACTTTTCTGTCACAAAATCACCGATTTATATAAAGGCGCGTCATTCATACATACACCGTGAAACAACCCTTTCAGTTTGAGGCATATCGGCTCATTCCACGCCACACGTTAATTGCCTTTGTTAGCATTGTGTGATAAGACAATGGCGCATTATGCAAATAAAATGATCACATTACTTGTAATAACAGACGTCAAGAATGACTCATATTCAAAACTCAACATTTCATTATCAATATCACCCGTTGAATATATGTATATGTATAAACTTAACAAGGGATATATGATTCCGTTAATGTCATGAGCACTTCGGGTCTTCGGCGTGACAAACAGTTCACGTTTTCTTTCAAATGAATATAGTCATTAAATGACATTTCCCCATCACTACAATTATCACGACATACCAAAATATGCTATGTCACTCTTCAACATTTAAAATTATGAAATTTTGATAATAATATTATCTTAGTTACATTTTCTGTAACATGTGTATACAAACCAATTTGACAAAAACCGGCAATGCTCCTTTAAGTTCATATAAACCTGGGTAGTTTGGATCACAAGCAAACTGAAGCGCAAATAGGGTTGCGCAACAGAGAGAAAAATGACCAGTCTTCCTTATATGCGAGCATGGAGAGCAAACGTTGGCAACCTACTTCCCTCGCTTCGGTTCGAAAAATATTTTTAATGTCACAATAAGATATCGCCACCATTAAAGGTAGACACCCATTTCCTCACAGAGTTGTGGTCTCTGATTTCCAACCTCATACTTAATAATTACTCACGTAAAATATATTTCAATCAACATTTCAAGCGCCACTCGTGGCATATCAAATAGTTCTTAGACTCCATTATCCCGCCAGCCTTCCGGTTTTAGCGTAGTGAAGGAACAGGAGAGTTAACTGTAATTATATTTAGAAAGACTGGTCATTTTCTCTCTGTTGGGCAACCCTATTTGCGCTACAGTTTGCCGGTGTTTGGATATTGTCTAAATTGGCGATAGGGTAGTCTTGTAAGAGTGTATTGGCATAGGACGCCCGAGGACGCGTTCAAGTCCCCAAACAGTACAATTCAATAGGCTAAACCCATTTGGTCCGCCAAGGTGTAACGGTACTTGTGTTATACTAGTCTCACACGTTACATACAGTACAGTTTATGTACATGTCGGACTGGGGAATATTTGATTGTTCCAGCTCGACTTACATACATCCAAGAGGTACAACAAACTACAACAAAAACACTTCATAAATTGTCGGCTCCATGTCCTCGTGAATTTGGCACTGACTACCCAAAAAACAAAGTTTTCAATTCTTGATAGGTGGTTCTGCATGTTGGGCAGTTCTTCTGGACAGCTGACCACTCTTCTATACACTCGGAACAGAAGGTATGACCGCATGGGATGAGGAAGTGAGTGACCGCTCGGTCCATGCACACAGCGCACATGGGCATACTCGTGGCGTCTGGCGTCTGAAAGATATGCCCAACATGTCGGAAAGTTAACTTGTGACGTGTTTCATAACATCAGCCGAGGTACACAGTCATTCGCTTTTCTGATTTAGTCATTGTGAAAAATTTAAGACAACGGTAAAAACAGGAAAAACAGTTTGACATAACGATCTGAAAACATCATTTAAGCCTTTTTTTTCGTTTGATTTGAAATTCCTAAAACTGCTTGAAGACAGGTGGGTTCCTTGATTTTGGCCCCAAACCATACACTGTATATTACACACCTCTGTCTCACTCGATCACTGGATTGTCTGGTCCACACTGGATTATTTATAGACCGCCGTCACACAGCTGGAATATTGATGAGTGCGACTTAAAACTAAACTCACTCTTTCTCACTCTATAGGTCCAACAATACACATAGTTATATCTATTGCTTCATCTTCTGATACAGACAAATGAAAACGTCATCTCACTCACCACTCCAGGTTCCAGACACGGCAGCGGGTTATCTCCTCGCCATGGTTCAACTTCACACAACCTGATTGTCTCCCCTGGTGAGTGTAATCCGACAGCTGCATAGAAGCCACCAGGGGGCACTGTCAGAGGTTGGGACTGATAAACCTGGAAAAGTGGAAATGAAGTGGTTCACTGGAGCTGTAGCATGTGCGAAAATACGTCAGTAGGTTTTACCTGCATACTGTCTGTTTGTTACTGTGGGTGAGTGAGTTTAGTTTTACGCCGCTTTTAGCAAAATTCCAGCAATATCACAGCGGGGGACACCAGAAATGGGCTTCACACATTGTATCCATGTGGATAATCGAACCCGGGCCTTCGGCAAGACGAGCGAGCGCCTTAACCACTAGGCTACCCCACCTCCCCCTATATGTTGCTGAGCGCGGTAGTGAGTCATAGTGCAGCCTTATCACTGTGATCTGACAAATATTCGCGTCTTGGCCAGACAGCCCATTGTCATTGCTTGATATAGCAACATCACAATGTCGGGGTTAACATGAGACACAATTAACCCTGTCAGTGGCCCACCGCTTACGATATTATCAATGTATCCATTGTACACTGGGGCATGGTATCTCATGGGGATAGCGCTATAAAACCAGCATTAGTCCGGAATCGTACAAAAACAAACCATTTAGAACATGATTACTTTCAAAATTATAAGCCTGAAATGCATTACTGTCAAACAGAACAATATGAAGGGGTATAGGGGACGAATTCTTAAATCTCGGTGTCCCAAACATTTAAGTAATTAATGTCAAGTTGACTATAGCCTGGATACACATCAGCCTTGCAATTAAGTATGACCCTCCTAAAAGTGTTGGTGAGTGATCTTGAGTTAAAACCGTTTTGAACTGTATCGTTATGAGTGAGTAGTGAGTATGGTTTTACGCCGCTTTTAGCAATATTCCAGCAATATCACGGCGGGGGACACCAGAAATGGGCTTCACACATTGTACCCATGTAGGGAATCGAACCAGGGTCTTCGGCGTGACGAGCGAACGTTTTAACCACTAGGCTACCTCGCCGACCGTATCGTTATGACGTGACAGTTGAAAGTGACAGGTGACCAGCTGAATGTGACTGTTGAATGTGACAGTTGAATATGACTGTTGAATGTGACAGCGGAATGTGACAGAGGGACGTGACAGTTGAATGTGACAGTAGAATGTTGCAGTTAAACGTGACAGTTGGATGTGGCAGCTGAATGTGACAGTTGCGTGTGACAGTTGGATGTGGCAGCTCAATGAGACAGTTAAACGAGACAGTTGGATGTGGCAGCTGAATGTGACACTTGAATGTGACAGGTGAATGTGACAGTTGAATGTGGCAGCTCAATGTGACAGTTAAACGTGACAGTTGGATGTGGCAGCTGAATGTGACAGTTGAATGTGGCAGCTCAATGTGACAGTTGAATGCGACAGGAAGGTCTGACATGATACAATCTGAGACGTGAACCACTAAGGGGAAATCCACATCACTGTATGCTGCTCACAAAGCCAGAAACATAAACCCTGTCTGGTGGGTCCAAACCACGTTAGGACACAGAGACAATGTTTTATTTTCACACATGGCGGTATGTGCAGTATTTACACCTACCGTTATATTTGCAATGGTACAGGAAGTTACCACTCACCTTTTCCCCCATTGTTGAGAAATGTGACTGTTTTGTCAGAGAAGTTGAACTGACAAGTCATGGTGGCGCCCTGTCTCGCTATAGGAAGAGACGTGATGGCAGCTCCCGTTGCAGAGTATATGCTGAAATACACAAATAGACATCCATATCCATTTTACTATAAATGTATACATATAGCAGTCTCGTATGTTATAAAAACTGGGAACCAAAGAAACAATAATTTACATGAGTATATACAGACAGCATCAATTAATAGATCTTCTCCTGGAATTTGTCCATAGACTGAACTGAATGGCAGCTGTGTCTTTCAGCCTTGCATGAATCGTCAGAGGTTCAAACTAATAGGGCAGTTGGTGTACAACACCTGACCTACTCACCCGCCGTCATCTGCATGGTATGCTATAGAGTGTTTGTCCCATCCTGGCTGTCTGTCCCGCCGATAGTGTTGTGGACACAGGCCTATCGCAATATAGCACCCTCGTCCTTGGTCCACGATTTCTGAAAATATATCAGAGTCGTAAATTAGGGTGTCAGTGAGCACAATGCTTTTATTGTGGTTTGGTTCGCTGTTTTACGCCGCACTCAGCAATATCCCAGCTATATGTGGGGGTCCGTAAGTATTTGAGTCTGAACCAAACAATCCAGTGATCAACAGCATGAGCGTCGATCTACGCAAATGGGATTCGACGACATGTGTCAACCAAGTCAGCGAGCCGTTCCCGTTAGCCACTGAAACCTAATAAGCAGGTCCATTTGCAAGTGAGAAAACTTGAAAAGATAAATCCCCAGAAGTACCTATTAGTTTCGTAATACGTTGTTTTGGGATTACAAAACTAAAATATTTTCAAGTTACGTTGTAGATATTTTGAGTTATGATCCGTGCAATATCAGTGTCTGGCAACTCACGAAGTCAGCTTGGAAATGTAAGTTACCAGACTCTCTGACCTCTGAAATGCTAATTATCTATAGAAATAGATCAGAAACAAATTGTAGTGCTTCAGTGGTTTTAATTCGCCCACAGAAAGTTAATAAAAGCTGAAAAAACACAAGGTTGAGGGAAGTAGTCGGCACAATATGAATGTTTGATCATTCCAAGTCCAGGGTTTAAAAACAAATAATGTCCCAATATTTCAAGACTTTTCGTGACCATCCAAGTATATTGTTTGTTCTTATTTCGGATAAAAATAGACACTGTGGTAAAACAATCTCTCATATAAGTCAATATTCTAACTCAGAATAAATGTAACGTACATTTCGTAAGTTCCAATGCCCTATCGATTTGTGCTCTCCTACATGAGATGAATGGTGTGTACCGTTACTAAAGCACTTTTTGTATTAGTGAGAAAGCAGACAGCATAATTAAAGTATGAATAGAGGCCTTTCCATTGAAATTGTCTTTACTTTACATGAAAAGACCTACAGACAAAGGAAAGAAGAAGTAAACAAGGATTCTGGTAAAATAACCCATCAAGGAACTGCCCCAGATCTTGATTCACTTAAGAGTCTAGCACACAAATGAGGGATACGTTAAACAAATAGAACTACAAGAGAAATGCTCCTAGTTTGTGAACTCTACAACTTAATCTGTTAGATAACGTGCATTTCAAATCCAGTTGGTTTCCCCTCTTAATTTGTTTTCGCCATGTAAATGGTAGGATTGAGGGGGCAACAAAGGCTTTAAGTCAACAGACAATTGTAAATTCCAGCTTCAAAACGATAAAACAATGAGAACTAACAAGGCGTTTTGCCAAAAACACGAGGTTTTCAGGTGGTAACTGGCAATTTTCCAACTTCTCTTTAGGTCGCTCTGTTTGAACATACCTTGTGACTTGCCACATGGTACCGGTTCATGAACCTTGCACAAAACCTATGTGCAACCCTTTCTTCAGTTAATGTTCACAAACTGGTAACGTACATTTCGGTCACATACATTCACATTGAATCAATTTAATCATTATCTCACCAACTAAAATCGATTCCGAATCGAAACTTGTGATTCGGATAGTCCATGTAAGTTACATTAACATAACTAGCCTTACAAGATTTGATAAATTATTCTTGAGAGAAAAAGGCAGTAACGTACATTTCACTTTGTTAAAATTACTCTCGGAATTGAATGTTTGTACACTGTATAACTGTATATAGCAGTTTTGAAAAGATGTGAATTTGTGAATATCCTAAAAGGATTGACTGCCACCTATATATCTGACAGACAAATGAGTCTGATAGATACCTGATTTGGCTATAAAGAAATCGCAATATGAGGGTAGCGTACATTTCTGCAAAGGCTGGGACATAGAAGAACTGAAATCTAACTTTGGAAGAAATTCATCAAGGTTTAAAACAGTTGCTGTATGTGAAGTGTGCATGATGTTAATAAAAGAAAACAGCACAATCAACTTTGAATGCAGCTGCAATAAGACCAGATCATAGTGAAGTTGGTGTACTTCCAGATTGGGACAGTAACGTTTATTTCATTTTCACATGATCAAAGCCTTATTTCAGAATGACCAATGTACTTGTGAAGCTGAATGTTTTGGTACAAGTTGCATAGATTATTTATTTACCACACACAGCATCATGCAAAACAAGTTTACGTTTTCACATATGACAGTGAGGCATCATTCGGATCTGCTTATTGGGTTTCAGTGTAGCGCCTCTAACGACAAGCATGGGTCACTGAAGACCAATTCTAGCCCGGATCTTCACAGTTTGAGCACAATGGTTTCTACTCCAAAGAGGAAGCAAGACCGGTGAAATATGTGTGCTGTGTGCGAATTTTGATACTCGAATCGAAGTTGTGAAAATGAGGTTGAATCGTTTCGGTAAACGATCTGATCTTAATGAAATATTACACTGTGAAACGCATTCATTTCCGTATTGATTATACATCATTAAAAGACACACAATCTGTACGATTTTTTAATGCCTCCTGCTTTGGTATATATACACAAATACGTTCATGGTCACAGGCACCGATATGAATGAACCTTACGGTAGACATATGGTCATTATGATTTATCGTGCTTCACACATAAATTTCGTTTTCTGATTGGCTGAGCGTTCTTCTATTTTTTTTCAATGTAACCCGCTTACAAGCGAGTAACATTTTCTATGTATCCCACAGGGAATGCCGAACTCAGTTGGTACTTCGTAGTAGTAATTCTTTATCTCGAATAACATTGAATCACGTATGATGTACTGAAATTACCGATGTTTTGAGAATGCAAATCGATGGAAGGGAGATAACTCTAAATTTGTTTTTCTTGTCTTGTAGTCTGGTACTCCTTACTATGATCCGATACCCGTGCATCAAACAGTTCAAAATTACCATTGAGGTGTTCGGTCCCTCGGGACCCATGGGTTGATGTGCCCTCAATGTTTCCCTATGTTCCCCTCGCCCTTTGGGCTCAAACATCGAGGGTACATCAGCCCGTGCCCCCCACGAGACCAGTGAACAACCTTTAATTTAGCACATTACGACGTACTATGTTCCAACACCTTTGCACCAGAGACGGTGTTCAGTAACCCATCCTTGTCGTAAGAGGCGACTAACGGGATCGTGTGGTCGGGCTCGCTGACTTTGTTGACACATGTTATCGTATCCCAATTGCGTAGAATGAAGCTCATGCTGTTGATAACTATATTGTTTTGACCAGAGTTATTATTTACAGACCGCCGCTATAAAGCTGGAATATTGCTGAGTGCGGCGTAAAATTCAACTCATACATTCGTACACCTTACTGACATGTGATTGACTGGGTGTTGTTGACGATCTCCACGGCTATCAAGTTTGATACATTCCGGCTACAGTTGAACAATGTTCGGGGCCACAAAAAGCCATGATTGACAACCGAAAACAAGAGCCGTTATATTCCCTGTCAGGTGAGGATTGCACATAAACAACCAGGTAACAGTAGTATAAGGGCCTTTATAGGGTCAAAATCTATTTTTAGAATAGGCCCTGGCAACAGGTTATATTTAGAATAGGACCTTTATAGGGTCAAAATCTATTGTTAGACTTCACATTGTCTATTTTTAGACGATGAGTCACTGCTCTCTATTGTATATTGAGATCTATGGTGTGAACATCTGGTGTGTCTATTTTTAGAATAATATAAAGTCCCTCGAACAGCCCTCCATACACAGTTTCAGTCACTACACCTAGTGATTACACATCGTGGATATACTACCAGTGTTCCTTGTGCAACCCTAGTGACTACAGTTACTGGGTGTAACGCCATTCTTGGTTTAGACACTGTACTGTGTGGACGTGTCACCATTGGTCTGGGATATCATGGATGTGTGTGGACATTACCCATTCGACAAGACACTCGATTGCTGTGCAATCAAGACTGAATGGACTTCATTCCAGAAAAGACTCGATTCGTTTAAAGACTGGCCAGTGCAGATGAAACAGAGTCCTGGTCACATGGCTCAAGCAGGATTTGTGTACTTAATCAGAGGGGACGTTTGCAAGTGTTTTCAATGTGGTCTCATTCTCAAGAACTGGGAAGTAGATGATGATCCCTGGGCCGAACATGAAAAATGGTCTCCAGATTGTCCGTATTTGGCCCTGGTGTGAGTACCTCGGAAAGAGGTGACCCGTTGGGGTAGTCATGTGGATTTGCAACCAAGAGAGTGATGTAAAATGTGTGACTATTGGAAATAAATCAATGTTAAGAGTATGTCTGCCTTGGTTGTCTATGTATAGTATAAATAGAGGTTGACTCAATACTAATCTCACTGAGATCCCAACCGCGATAAGAGTTTGTTTGCTTGAAATAGTATGGCTAGGTACGTGTTGAAGCATTACGAATTTTTAAGGTTCATGCTAATGTTTCAAGACATTGAGGAGATTCGACAAGACATCTTAGAAATGAACAGAGAACAGATTCTTGCCATCAATGGTATTATCAATAGGTTATTAAAGGGAAGATTACCAGTAACTCGATATGAAAGGCGTCGTTTCCTGAGGAAAAAATGATAAAAATAACTATCTAGTGGTGTTACGAAGATTAGTTCACCCCTGTGGACGACAGACAGTAGGTGGAAGAGGCTTTTTGCCAGTAACATGCCAATCGTAGCATTTGTTTTGAAACCACAGTTTGTCAATGCACTTAGAGATGAGGCCATTCAAAATGCCTGGTTGTTTGACAGAGCATTGGGTTAGTATGTTTGGTACACCCGGTTTAGTTTGTCATAGTACTGCATCGAACCATCCTGGCAGCGATGTTGAAAGCTATACCAAGGTCAATGAAGATATCTATATAACAGGCCACAAGGGCTATCTAGCTTCATTTAGCCGTGGACCAGTGACAGTGACGCATCACCTCAGGCCGTTTTCATCATGAATAATCCACGATACAAACTCTTCGTACCGGATGCGAGAAAAATGGACACGATATTACATGCTCAGGGCTGAAGGGAAAGGAGACCCTTATCATTCTATAACACGTGGAGGAGAAAATCTGCCATGATGTCTGTCGATCGATATTTGGAACTGTATGATCCAGAGTGGAAGAAAGACAAACAAAACCAGAAACCACAGAGCAACCTAAGATTAATTTCGTTACCCCTACTCAACAAGTGGTTGAACAAGCTAAAGCCAGGTTGAAGAGAGAAAGGGAAAGTGCCATCAATACGGAAAACACAAAGCGAATGAAAACATATTTTTAAATAGAGACGAAAGGCTAAATGTATCATTTGTAGTAGGACTGTTGACGTGTGAACATCATTATGCATCCCTGTCCCATATGCTCCAAACAATATGTTTGGGCTCATGACTTGTCCCGTCATATTCGAACAAAACATCCAAAAGATATCAAGCAGCAGCAGCAGCAGCAGCAGCAGCCGTCACCACCCTCTCCTCCTCCTCCTCCTCCACAGCAGCAGCAGCAGCAGCAGCAGCAACAACCACATTCATCAGAAAGTATTACCCAGTCATTGGAAGAATGTAGACTGATTCACCCCTTCACCATGATCGTCTCAGGGCCAACCTCCTGTGGGAAAACCTACTTAGTGAAACAGATTCTAGAAAGGATGAACATTAAACCTTATCCTGAACGTATTATATGGCTCTACAAACGATGGCAGCCCTTGTATAATGCCATTCAAACCCATGTTTATCCCTATGTAGAATTTCATCAAGGCATTCCTTCTGATCTCGAAAAGGATGCATTTCTGGACCCCTGTGTGGTGAACGTGGTTATCCTCGATGACTTAATGTCTACTGCCAGCAAAGATCCACGCATTACAGATCTGTTTACGGAAGGAAGTCATCATCGTAATCTCTCAGTGATCGCCTTGAACCAGAATTTGTATTTCAGTAAGGATCCCACACAACGAAGAAACTGTCATTATCTGCTTCTGTTCAACAACCCTATCGATCAACAACCCATCATGACTTTGGCGAGGCAAATGTATCCAGGTAACACAGACCATTTCATGGAGCCGTTTCAAAGGGCTACCCAGAAGCCTTATGGGTACTTGTTGGTTGATCTAAAACCCCAAACACCTCCCCATAGACGACTTTGTCCCAATGCATACAGTTTAAAAGGACACCTCCAAGCCAGGGCAATTCAGTCCGAGTTAGATATTCAGCGTGAGCAGGCGTGAAGAAAACCTCTCAACCATGCCAACTTGTGATGCCTGTGGACTCGTGTTTCAAGATGTGCAAGATTTGCAAAAACACAGAAGAAAACTGGTGTCCCGAAAAGACTTCAGTGGGTCCTCCTGGGATACCCCCAAGTGAAAAGGCAGTGGGAGGAAGACAACAACTTCTCACCTGTGAAGAGACCACGTCCTCTGGTGGATTGTGACTATTGTGGTCAAGTGTTTAGCACTAACCATAACTTACAAAGACATTTACACGATAAACAATGTCCTGAAATGGAAAATGAGGACGATGATGTTGAATCACTAAAGCTGATGTCACACACAACAGGAAAAATAAGATGGTTGATCTCGAAGAGCAAGGTATAAGACAAATGTATTCACGTACGCATGAGCTGAATAAAGACTTTTGGATGAGAAACGACAGCTGTACATAAAAGAGGTTTAAACGAAGACATGATTCAAGCCAAACTGAACAAATTGATCTGGAGCACGTTTAAAGAGACGTATGCCCGATTTATTACTTATCTGTACCATATGCAGGATGGACCAAAGACACAAGGAATACTGAAACGAGTAAAAGACACAAATAATATGTATCATGAAGTGATTTCAAAATTGTACCAATATAAGTCTTGGGTCGAAGGCATGACCGAAGATGAAGACATAACATCTGATGAAGAGAGTGAAGGACAGGTGGATGATGAAGGGTAATAAGACAACAGATGTAAAGTAGGCATTTGGGAGAGCTCCTATCCTAATGTCTACTCATTCGAAACGGAGCTAATAAACAATGAAATCTGTATATCTCTCTTGTTTCTTAATGTATTGTACCTCTGGGTTAAAAGATAAACATTATGTACAGACCACCGCCATGGCGCTGCTGAGAGTGTACTAGACTCACTGAATGTATTGTTGGAGGATTGACATAAGACAACTGTTGTACAATTCTTAGTTTTTATAATACCAATTTCCACCCTATTTCACCGAATCCACATATTCTTAACCTCCTCATACTAGTATCAGACATACAAGTTTCAGTTTAATCGTCATTCCGGTTGATTGAATACAAGATAACCACTGTTTCAGTTCATGGTATTGAAGATAGCAACTGTTACAGTTCATTGTATTGAATACAACAACAAGTTTAATGATCTGTAATGAATATATACATATATATAAACGGTTTATAAATACATAAGCTATTACGCTAGTGTTGTAAAGCCATTTTTGGTCTACAAAGCCGTTTTGGACATGTAGCCGTTTTGGACATGTAGCCATTTTGAGTCAGAACCGTTTGCGAACCGGTTTGATAGACCCGTTTGCGATCCAGTTTGACAGAACCGGTTTTAGGTCGGGGCTATTGGCGCCAAGATTTAATGCTCTTTGTTCACTGCCATGTGCAGCCGGTATGTTGTGCTGTGCGTGTTTAGGTATTCTGGCGGTTTCATGACCGTTTAAAACAGCACAGTAGGTGTGGAATTTATGTGATGGATCATTCTCTATTCTAATTTGTGAGTATTTTTACGTATGAACGTATTGTGTGAATAATGTTGTTGACGACAGTATCGTGAGTACACATGTTAACAATGCGAGTACATGTACACACCAAAATTGGTTTTATGTAAGCCATAGTTTAGGAAAAAACGATGAATCTAGGGAAAGGTTCTGATTATGATTGGACTGTGTTTATTGTGTTGGGATTTAATGATTCGTGGCAAACGGGAGTCATGTCAACTTTCTATCGGTCGTATCCTGTATGTGTGTGTCAGGCTGTGTTTATTCATGTGATTGTGTGTGAGGTTTTTTAAAGTAGGCTCATGGCATATGTGAGTCATGTGTAATCAACTTTCTATAGGTTGTATTCTGTGTGGGGTGTATTTATTCATATGATTATGTGGGATTTTAAAGTAAGTTCATGGTGACTCGTTCTACATGGGATATTTTGGTGAGAAGCATGCTGTGAGTGATTTCGCTTTGAGTTTCAACATTTTACTCAGTTTTTTTCATCGAAGGGCATGGCTAGGACTTTGTTATTTGTTTAAATCTATATATTTATCATTTTTTTCAAAATGGCGGCGGGGGACGCGATCTATGACCTGGTTTCTTCAATGGGCGTGAAGGCCGTCATGCTTCTCGGGCCATTGAACGTAGGGAGAGGCAATGTTATGGTAGAATGAACATGGCACACATCACTCGGAGGCTGTGGCAAATTAAAAGAAAGTATTAACATGGACACTCGGTAACATGTATTTGAAGTTATTTATTTTTCACTCCATTATACGCTTGTTTTCTGAATCTTCATGCTTGGGTGGGAGAGGGGATTCCCTTCCCGTAAACATAGCTTTGAATGGCTGTAGGTCGGACTTACGGGTGGGCAAATGAGTCATTCATTGTTGGAGTACAGTATGAATCAATCTGTTTCTTCACATGAATGGGTTACTTGTTCCAACCCCTCTAAAACATCACGAATTGGTACCTATGGATGTGTTATTCCCTGATGTCATTCATATGGATTTGATGAACAGAGGTAAGTTGACTTCATGTACACTTTATCCCCAACACTCGTTCAATCTGATGATGATGTAAATCTTAATCTGTGTTACGATGTATTCTGTGTTACAAGATATGGACTGAAGGTAGGACGTTGTATACATTTGAATTTCACATTTTTAATAGTTATAGTTAGTCAGACGGGAATTGATACTGCGATAACGGACGCTCGCTTTGAGATAAAATCGAAATACACTGGTAGTATAATGTGTAGTCACTCCAGTGTATAATCCAAAGATGTTTTGTAATCAAGTGAGAAATATCCACAATGTTTAATTACTCCCAGAGATGTGTAGTTGAGAGGCTGAGCTATTGAAAATATAAACCCAGTGAATCACACAGTATACTCCAAGGTTGTTTAGTAATCCAATGAGAAATGCACTCTGGTATATCCACAATGTGTGAAATCACTAGGTGTAGTGGCTGAGCTGTGTATGAGGGCTGTTCGAGGGACTTTATATTATTCTAAAAATAGACACACCAGATGTTCACATGAGTCATGGTCTAAATATAGACTCTTTTAAAAATAGAAACAGCAGGTGTTGACATGACTCATGGTCTAAAAATAGATTTTGACCCTATAAAGGTCCTATTCTAAATATAACCTGTTGCCAGGGCCTATTCTAAAAATAGATTTTGACCCTATAAAGGCCCTTATACTACTGGTAACACCTGGCCCCGGAAAAGCAGCCTGGAATTGTGCTGAATGTTTTTCACCACAAACCATCAATAACTGTAATAACGAGGGCATCTAAGCCTGTACCCCTTTTTAAATGGTTCAGAAATCCAAAGATTCAAATTTTTCATTTAGAACGGAATCGAATTATTTAGCAATTTCTTCACAATTCCCTGAACTAGTTGCAAGAATGAAACAAAACAAGGCAAATGTACAGCAAGGGAGGCAACTCTTACCTATCGTCTCCAGTTTCCTAAAACTATAAAACTAATCATCCATTTCCTATACCCACCCTACAAAAAAGTCGATGTTTATTCTGTCGTCATTTCAGGCAGTGACCCTATGATTCTGGGTTACATGTAACTGATTGACAAACTAAGGTACAGGGATAATATTACCAATAGAAAAACTATTGACATCAGGAGCCAGTGGACACTTTGACAGCAGGAGAGCAACAGGAACAGCATCACCTCCATTGTAGCTGGAAAGAAAGGTAGTTATTAAGTCTAAGCTGTATTTCATAGAAATACAATGTATCAAATAGTACGTTACTGTGTCAACATTTAAGTTTCACTATCATATAACGCGTATTGTGTAAACAGTCCAAAAATATTTATGTAAATTCGCCGTCAACCGATCTCTCGCGCTATCGAACAAAATACATCATCCATCATAAGTAATATTTGGGATTCCACTTTCTTAGTAAAGAACAGAATCTAGTACTTTTGTTGGTTTGAGTTCCACCTTGGATTTGAACCCACACCCGAAGAAGAAGAAGAAGAAGAAGAAGAAGAAGATTATATTTACGTCTCACTATAAGGTATATAGAACATACAAATTGCATACAATGTTATATATATAAAACAAATACCTCTCCGACCAATCACACAGCGATTTATGAGAGACTATATAAGATGATATAAACATCATAAAATATGCATTAAAAATATATATATTTACACATGTACATACCAATATATACTGAGCATCATTGAAAACGCACCACTTATAAAAGTTAAGATTATTAAAAACACGTGAAAAGAATTGATATTTTTGAGTGGAAAATAATAGATGGACGACTGGCAAAGAGCAGAGTAGATGTCAGACGTGAGGTGGAAAAGGGCAAGAAAGACGGGGAGGAGATAAGATCAGATATAGATATACTGAATGAGAAACATGACAACCTGGAGAGTTATGTTGAGCACATAGAGATCCGGATGGAGGACCAGGAGAGACGGGGGAGGAGAAACAACATGATTCTATGTGGTATTCAGGAGACGCCTAATGAGACTTACACAGAGAGTAAACGTAAAGTACTGGAGTACTTAATAACGCCAGGAAAGTGAAAAATATGTCCCCACTTGATGCACGTGACATAGAGCGAGCACATCGTTTAGGTAAGAGATCAAATAAGAAAAGACCTATGATCGTGCCCGTGTGTCACTGGGAGGACAAGTGGAGGTCAGTCAAACTCCGTGATATCCTCAGAGACATGAAAATTGGTATTGCTAACGACCTAACCTTTTTCCAGAAACAGGAGCTTGATAGATTGAGACAGAGTGACCCTGATAACAGGTACTATTACAAGGGTAATAAACAGCTGAGTCAGCCTAAGGGTGAGTTGGAGAGTGCCCCAGGGGGTGCAGGAGGTGAGAACGATGAGGCGCTACCGACCGGACAAAAGGTTGGGGGTGGTATCTCAAGAAACCTCAGGTCTCACTCTAGACGTGGTCGGTACCAATAGGGGTGTGGCCAGGGTCTAACTACTGACACTGATCCACCCAGTGATTGTACGGCGCATCACTCACCCTTCGCTCAGTCAACCGCATCACCTGAGGAGTTTTATCATCAATCATTACTATTTTGGAATAAGTCTGGCTTATCATCTAAATTATCTGATAATGAGTTCTTTATGTATATCAAAACATTTGAGATTATCGGACTTACCGAAACGTGGATTAATGATTGTGATGTTGATGATATATTTGATGACTATGTCACGTTCACGAAACCTGCAGATAAGTTATCTCACCGCGGCAGATTATCAGGTGGCATAGTTGTGCTAGTTAGAAAATGTCTTAGACAATATATAAAATGGTGTAAACTTACTGAAAATGCAGTTAACATTTTATTTGATAAACCATTAGGTAACGATAAAGATCTGTTGTATTCCTGTGTATATGTACACCCTGAGGGGTCAACCTGGTATGAAAAGACAAACGTACATTGTAAAAACAGGATTCAGTTGTTACAGGAAAATCTAGTAGATATATTGTCGGATCAACCAGATGCATCTGTTTTGTGTGGCGGAGATTTCAAAGCGCGAACAGGAAATGACCCGGACTTTATTGAGGATGATATACTTGAATATATAGAAACAGACACGTCAAATTGGAAATTTCTTGTAGATCAATTTAACCTCGCAAGATTCTCCGTTGACAAAACTGTTCATTCATTTGGACGATCTTTGGTAGAATTATGTGCTGTTTTGAATATCCATATCATGAATGGGAGATGCGGAGCAGACACAAATATTGGAGATTTTACATTTCTTGGGTCAATCGGGGACAGCGTAATTGATTATATTATTGCATCATCATGTCTGTTCTCGTTTTGACTGACTTCAATATACAATCTCGCACAGAGTCCACGCACATCCCAGTCACAATGAAATTGGTTACAACACACAAGCGGGAATATGATGTAATAAAAGAAGATTTGAATCATAGTTATAAGTTTGTTTGGAATGAAGAAAGATCGGATGAGTTTAGACAAAATATGTTCTCAGATAGTGTGCAGGACTTACTCGATAAATGTTCAGATACAGCCTTTAGTGATATCAATCAGAGTATAGAATATATTGCAGATGCTTTGTGCTCTGCTGCTATGGGTATGAAACGAAAATCGACACATAGATATTATAGCAAGAACAGCCCATGGTTTGATAGTGAATGTAGGCGTTTGAAAGCCGAGCGTTGCCGGAAATTAAATCAGTTCAGAATGTATGAAGACAAACAGCACTTAGATAAGTACCATTTAGTTAGAAACCCATATAACGCTAAGTGTAAGCAGAAAAGAACTGAGTACTATAAACAAAAACAGATAAAACTAGAAAATCATATCAATTCCAAAGAGTTTTGGTCAATCCTTCAAGGCTTGAATGGTAAACAGTCTACTAAACATGATATCAGTACCCGTGAGTGGTTTGAACATTTCAAACAATTGTTTACATCAACTAGCAATGATGTAACAGAGGATGTAAGTGCTGGCAACGAGAGTACTAATGAACGTACAAGCACACCAACTGACTTTGACCTATTGACTAATGATATTCTAGATCCACCTATTACCAGACAAGAAATTATAGATAGTATAAGACACTAAAAGGTAAACAAAGCAGCGGGTGTTGATGATATATTACCTGAATTTATTAAATATTCTGAAGATATCTTATTACCTTACTTGGAGTTGATTTTTAATGTTATTTTAGAGAGCGGTCATTTTCCATCGACTTCGACTATTGGAATTATTATCCCAATTCATAAGAGCGGGAACATTAATAATGTTGATACTTATAGAGGTATACATCTGTAAAGTATATTGGGAAAGGTTTTTGTCTATATCATCAACAAGAGATTGACATTTTGGGCAAATACTTTTGATAAAATAGATGAATCCCAAGCCGTCTTTAGGGCAGGATACAGTACTGTCGATAATATCTTTATACTTAATTCAATTGTTCAGAAGTGTCTAAATACAAAGGGAAAGAAAATGTATGCTTTGTTTGTCGATTTTAAGAAAGCGTTTGATTCAATACAGGGAGAAAAACTTTGGGAGGTAATGCAAAAACATGGAATTAGCCCTAAGATGAATAGATTGCTACAGAAGATATATGATAATGTGAAAGTTTGCATCAGAAATAATTATGAAATATCAGATACCTTCAATTGCAATGTTGGGCTTAGACAAGGCTGTATTCTGAGTCCATTCCTATTCTCAATGTTCATTAATGAATTTGCTTCGATAATACAACAAAATGGTACTCATGGTATCCAGTTACATCCCTATTTGACACCATTGTTTTTATTGTTGTTTGCCGATGATATGATTCTGTTTGCGACTACTGTTGTTGGATTACAAAGGCATATACACAACGTACATGAGTTGGAACATTATTGCAATGAGGCAGGATTAACTGTTAAATTTGAGAAAACTAGAATAGTCGTATTCAAATATGGGGGCAAACTATCTAAAAAGGAAAAATGGTATTATAGAGGAGAGCAGCTCCAAGCCACACAATCATATAAATACCTTGGAGTCTACTTCACTAATCGTCTTGGCTTTTCAGCACGTGCTAAATATTGTTCCACACTAGCCAAAAAGGTACTTATTGGGGTTCTCAAAACTATTCACAAACTCGTAGATATTGATTATCATTCTTTTTTCAAAATATTTAATACAAAAACCCTTCCTATTCTATTGCATGGTTCAGAGGTATGGGGTTTCAATAACTTTGACGTAATTGAGAAAATACATTTATATACTTCTAAGAATTTTTTAGGAGTGAAAGTAAGTACACCTAATGCCATGGTATATGGAGATTGTGGAAAATTTCCCATACACATTTTTGCTAAAGCTAGAATAATAAAATATTGGATACGTCTGTTATATATGCCATCTGATAGATACCCTAGACAGTGTTATGATGTGATGTTAATGTACGATAACAACGGGAAGACTAACTTGGCGACTAACATTCGAGAATTGTTAAATAAAATAGGTTTTGGGGAGGTATGACAAAGGCAAAATGTTGACTTTTATACAAATTTTGTGAATAATGTTACTCAAAGATATATATACACAAGAATGGGTAGGGGCACTGTCATTGTCAAGTAAATGTTTCTATTATAGAATGTTTAAATCCCATATATACAGAGAGAATTTTCTGCTGTCACTAAATATCAAGAAATTTCTCTCGGCTTTTGCTCGGTTTAGGTGTTCCTCACATGACTTGGCAATCGAAACAGGGAGATATCATAAAATAGAGAGGGAAAATAGAATTTGTACATTTTGTGATCTTAATTGTGTAGAAGATGAATATCACTTCCTCTTAATTTGCCCATTATATTGTGAGTTAAGAAAAAAAATGTCCCAAGATATTATTCTGTATATCCCGATAGGGTGAAATTTTCTTTGTTAATGAGTACTGATGACAATGTTCTTATCTGTAAATTGTCAACCTTTATCTATCAAGCATTGTCTCTAAGAAATAAACATAATAATTCATAGAATGTATGTACTCATATTGTTATTTGTTAAGATATGGTATGATGTGGTGCGATATGATGATATGATATGATACATGGTATGCTATGACATGAGGTAATATGGGGTGTTATGATATGATGTGATACGACAAAGTATGTGTAATGCGATGTTATATGATGTGATACATTTTGATGCGATATGACATATTGCGATTTGACTTTTTTAATTTTTTTCTATGATATTGTGTGCTATGTTCTTGTATACTATGGGCCCGTGGCCTTCAGTATGAATAAAGATTGATTGGCAAAAACAACAACACAGAAAAGACGCTCATTCATTGAAATGTTCCACAGTCAGAAAGGATCAAACACACGTGGGGTCAAATATAAAAGTCAACATCGCAGTTCAACGTCTCCTCATTGAGTCAATAAGCGTCCGAATAGAGTTCTTGGGGATGGCATTCCACTTCTGCAGTAGTGCAGCCTCAAGTTCCCGGATGTTTCAAATCTGTTGTCGCCGCGAAAGACTTTGACCAATTTCGTCCCAAAAGTGCTCCATGGGGGGATACATCTGGCGACTGTGCTGGCCAATGAATAACCTGGATGTGCTGCTGGGCCAGATACTGCATGGAAAGTCGTGTTGTGTGTGCCCGTACGCTATCCCGTTGAAAAGTATGGACATCTTGGTGGTGATTGAAGACAGATACGATGTGATTCTGAAGAATCTGCTCACAGTAATAATGGGCATTAACTCTCCCTTGACAGACATGAAGGCAGTCCGGTGATTGTAGTTTATTTCACCCCAGACCATGACACTCCCACCACCCAAAGGTCTGTCTGAACCACACACTCATGAGCATAACGTTCCCCACGTCTACGCCAAACACGTAATCGGCCGTCAGCATTATGTAGATGATGACGTGACTCGTCAGTGACTACCACACCATGCCATTGTTGTCACCATTACAGAAAATGCCTGCTAGCCCATTGTATACTCATTCTGTCAGTCAGAATTGGTCCAACGTAAAGACGTCGAACATGGAGCCCTGTAGCGTGTAGACGGCGTCGCATGGAGTCAGTGCTGATGACCCCCCACGTCAACCTTGAACTAGTGCAGCCGTCCTGGCAGTCGGCAGTGTTCAATCACTGATATGGATAAGGTCAATATGGCGATCCTGATGGACCGTCGTAACACGTTGTTGCCAAGATCATTGAAGGTCACGGGTGCTGCCTATCTACTGATGTCGTCTATGAAGCCTAACGATGGTGGAGTGGCCAAGTCCAAGTTGTCGAGCAATATCCCTGCTGCTGGTGCCAACCTGAATCATGCATAGTGCAAGTTCTCTTTCGTGAGGTGTTAACCTCGGCATCTCTAGTTGTCCTCGTTTCACAATCGTTAGTGAAGCAATGAGAATCGGTTCTCATACACCTGCTTTTAGTGTCACAGTCAGTATGATTTCAGAATGAAATTCGAGCTTTTTTATGGCGTGAATGCATGTCGATGCATTTTGGAATTAAGAGTCATACTGTGGACAGGAATTTGTTTCTAAAGCATTTTTTCAACTGGACATGCCCTTCGACTTCATGTTAGTTATATTCATTGATCATTGTCATGCTGAAATCCATCTTGATGAAAATATGTACAATTTTAGACTGGTGCGTTGTCAATGATGTTCAGTATATATAAACTACCCATACAAAATTAGTCGTATTCAGGCACCTAACCCACAAAAATGGAAGTCAGACATCTGGTAGTCTAGACTGCGGACTTTGTGTACCCCTCTGATAAGTGTAAATTGGCACGACTCCCACGCCAAAAGCTATAATTACACAATTGACCACTTTCTAAATGGCTTAACGGCTGTAATAACAATCTCCTATCAGAAAACACAACAAAGTACTTTGAATTTCAACAATATTTGATATCGTGATGGTTGAGATTGAAACACGAACTGCCTCTGACAAGCTTCAGAAACAGCAGCAGATTTCGCTGGAATGGTCAATATGGACGTTTTTACACTTACGGTCAAGGGTGCCGTTGTTCAAAACAACCTTAGCGCTAAGGCTACCTTAAGTCAGTGTTAAAGTATGGGAGTTACGGTCACCTTAGCGCTAAGATCGCTTTGTACAACGGCACCCTGTTGTGGAATGCATACATGTAGGTTTCGCGATCTTGGCTATCCTCACCTCAAAATACCTCTGGCTTGATTTAATACCGCATCCCTGCACACAGAATAATGATACTGCTCTTGGACAGGCGGTGGTAAATACTGAAACAATGTGTTAGTACTTGTAACAGCGAGTATTATATGAAGAGAGACTTGTAGAGAATGAGTGCGTGAGTGAGTTTAGTTTTACGCCGCACTCAGCAATATTCCAGCTATGGCGGCGGTCTGTAAAAAATCGAGTCTGGGCCAGATAATCCAGTGATCAACAGCATGAGCATCGATGTGCGCAATTGGGAACCGATGACATGTGTCAACCAAGTCAGCTAGGCTGACCACCCGATCCCGTTAGTCGCCTCTTACGACAAGCATAGTCGCCTTTTGTAGCAAGCATGGGTTGCTGAAGATCTATTCTACCCCGGATCTTCACGGGTCTATAGAGAATGAGTATACATTTTAACATAAACGTTGATATACATGCTAATTGTTTAATAGCAGCTTAATGCACCTTTTATGTTCAGTCAATGTGTTCATGAAAATGACTACAAACATAATACGATGGTATTGTAAATAATGTTACTGTGATTTTACGGCACTTTTAGCAATATTTCAAGATTTCCAAGGTTGGGTGTTGCTATAAATAATCGATAGTTAGAAGGGACTTAATCTACGTTTGTTTATATCCAACTTGGCTCAGACGTATTATTTGCAAGCAGTCGGTACAAACCTACGCTGGGACAGATGCTACGAATAGAACTGATCAAACAATGTGAGGCGTTTTCAGTAAAATCTTTCCTTGTTCCTTGTGACAGATCTTATCGAAGGAAGTTGATTGTTCAGTGTAGATACGACTGAGTGCGTGAGGACACATGGCTGGGATCATCCTGGTTCCGGGCCTCTCAGACTAATGAGAGGCCCGGGAACCAGGATGGGCTTGATGCACACTACCAGCCTGGTTTCCGGGGTCTGCTGCGCTAACGCTTCACTGGTGTGGAAGCGTCAGCGCAGCAGACTCCGGCAACCAGGCTGGCACATTACCACATTTCAGTTAAGGCGGCGGAAGTCTACAGCCGCTAACAGATGCTTAGGATTTGTCATTCCCTATTAAAATGCATATGAATAATAAGATATGTACACCGTGAATACAGTACCTGGTCGGACGCAGATCTCCACGGCTCCATCTCCAGTAGACAGATGGACTCGCCGTGTGAGTGGAGACCTACTGCTGCGTGGAACCCTCCTTGTGGGATCCTGAGGGCGGGGCTCCTGTACACCTGCAGACACAGCAGACACAGGTCAGACACAGCAGACACAGGTTACACAAAGAGAGCGGATACACGTACACTAACGAAGATGTTCGTGTGAAGGGCAGAAGAATAGACTTGACCTCAAATCTATGACCAAACCAGATAACGTGATGGGCCTCAAACCAGGAAGTATATCATACATCCGACGCAAAACAATGGAAATCTGATTGTTATTATATATACAGTTGCAAAACCCTATAGCTCTCACGCCGTGAGATCGGTAGACTGCGAATTTATATTACCGACATTCACTCATACAGGTCTGAAATTCTATAAGCTGTATGCTTCTCTCGAGGGTAATACGGTCTGATGTACGCCTCTTTGTAGCAGTGTTACCCAAGCCGGTAGCCGATAGGCGAGCGATGTCACTGCTACAAACAGGCGTACATCAGACCGTATTACCCGAGGGAGAAGCATACAACGTATTTATCTTACCGCCATGTTATATGTACAAAATATATTAGTTTATTTGGAAGATCGCTACCGACCAAATGACATGTAAACAAAATGGCGTCTGCCTCTCGACTGGAATTTTAAAATCAGCGAAACATATTCTGACAATCTTAATAACTTCAATAAAATTGGTTAATTGTGTTTAAGTTGACTGTGCAACGGAATCAATGTATAAAATAGTTTAAATAAACTAGTGAAAGTCGGTGAAATAAATGTCTACATGCTGAACTCACAAACAGACAATCGAACGGTTTTCAAACTCCGGACACAGCATGCGGCATATTATGACGTCATACGATTGTTAGCGATACAGCTTCTCGGCGGAGAGTTTGACGGTTACCGTGGCAGCGGGTAATATTTTTTCCTGTTGTCACCCTCCTAGGAGGGGTGACACGGAAACTTTGTTAAAGCGTCATTGACCAATGAAATTAAAGTATTTTACATGAAGGTACGATAATTAGGATAATTTCGTTATATACCTCTGATTTTCCAACACAGTAGGTTTATCTCTATTCTACCATGACAATTTTATGGACAATTTCAGGTGGAGCTCTGTCTTTGGTTACGAGTCAATACGTGAAGCGGCCTCGCATTCCAATCTCAAGTGGTATCGCCCGAAACGGGGTGATTGGTGGCAAACCGTCAATGACTAACAAACTCCGGATTCAGTAATAACAAATCACGTTTTGTTTTTTCAATGCATCAATCACCAATCATTAACTGATAAGTTGGAAAACATATATCAAATAAGTTTTAAAAGCTTGGTTCACATTTGAAAATTCCAACGTAGACCCTTACCCCACCAGAATAATGGCAGCAACCTCATGGCCTTGACCTTTTCTCGGAAGTCATTGTTTACATTTACGTGCAAATTTGGAAAGATGCGACAGCAGAGCAAGGTTAACCTGATTGTATGACTGAGATAGTCTTTGATATCTAATTACTGGTACAAAATTTAAGAGTAGAGGCGCTTTTGCTGTAACGAGAAGTCCGTGTTGTACCGAATTTAGATACTGTTGAATTTTGCGCCCTGTCAACTTGACGATTTCACGCACCTCTACGTCTGCGTGCGACAGCTGTGGTGACTCTTACACACTCATGTGTGTACTTTGTGCTCAAATTCGATTCTACGGATATTATTTTCTACATTTTGGAAAGTGTTTTGTGACCTAGTAGCTTCAAAGTGTAGTGAATTCGCTGGCATGTTCGCGAGTCTGTTGACAAAGAAGATTTGTGGTGATATTTCCGAAAGGATGGATCAGGACATGAGGGTGTACCTCTGGCATAAACACGGTAAGGTAATTAATTATACTTTAGATCAAGCAGTGTAATGGATAAGAGGGATCATGACTAAGCTAAATTACTTTTTCAACGATATTATACTTTTAGAAAAAAAATATGTAATTGTGTTTTACTACCGCTAAATTTTAAACAGTTCAAATTTCAAAACATCATTTTGTTTGAATTGATAACCCAACTGTTTATTCATGTGGACGGAAGGCGTTAGAATTTCTTCGGCGTTCGATGTTAATGCAATCTCCGTTACCGGATCAAGATCAGTGGCGATATCGTTGACGAAAGGTGATAATAAATTTAACACGGAAATCATGTAGCAGTCTATTGCTGGATCTATTCTGACATAACATAGAATCAACATAAACATCTACTTGTTTTTGCTGAATTTTTATTCGGAAAGCACACGATGTTTTGATCTTGTTCGACTGAATATTTGTTTCCATGCTTTCGAAGTACTTTTGTATGTATACACACCTATTGCTGTGATTTACGCAAGTAGTGAGTCGAGCCCGTCATCGCTAAATCCATCTGTAAAGATATATGTGTAATTTCCGACAGTAAAATCGCCGTAATTTATCGATGCATCGGTAGGTTGTTTGGTGTCCGCCATGTTGGTGGGCAGACAAAAATAGTTCATTACCGTAAACCATGTATGATTGCGCACGGAAAACAGAGACCTGTATAACGTGATTATATACCTCTGAATGACTTTAATTAACCAATCACAATCCAGTGTTTACTGAAGTCATGGTAGAATAGAATATGTCTGTAGTTTTAGAGAGTTCATAAAATTTTAACAGACGAGGTAGGTAGGTAGGTAGGTAGGTAGATAAGGTTTTAGGGCGCCCTTGGGCCTCAAAAGGCCTATATGCGCCCAACACTTAATTAACAAAGTGTTATATTTATGTTCAGTTAAATTATGTCATACTTCCCAGTTTTAAAGAGGAAGTCTAACACAGCTCTTTGTATGCAACACATTAAATTATCGCCAAGTATTGTGTTCATTGTAAAAATGTTTTTGGTTTTGTTAAGCACAGAGCCTTACGTGGGTTTTCATGAACAGTCGATGAGATAGTACTGAACTGTTTCTGGGCAGTGTAAGTTACAGCGTTCACACAGAGGAGATAGGTCTTTATCTAAAATACGTCTACATGTATATGCCTTCAATCTACAATGTCCTAGCCTGAGGCAAGTTAAAACAACTTCATCTCTGCGACAACGCCGACGAATTTCAAATGTTTGTTTACTACTGGACAAGTTGAGTACATGTATCTACCAGTAGTGTCAATGTTGTAACAGACGACATAAACGTACGAGTTACTTCCCTTACCCAATACATTCGGAGAGATATCGGGTTATTTTAAAAAACCTGACAATGTCAGATAGGCAAGTTACCTATGGTGTGTTCTGAGTGATTTCTCGGCAGGCCACGAGAGTGGGCATGACGGAAAATATTAGCTCGATCCTCTGAAGTATGTGTTACAATGCTGGAACGTTATTTAAATTGTAAATAACAACTATTTGCTGAGTTTGGTGAAATTATTTCGAAATGAATGTACAGAAATACAGCCGCAAAACCTAAAGCCATCCATTTTATGCGTTTTTAATCTACACCCTCAATCAGCAAGAGAGCGAGGCCGCGAATACTGCTGCGTAAACAAATGTAAAGTGCATGATGTATGCGATGTAGCCGGATGACCTACCACGGCGTCGTTCCGACAGAATATGACGGTGTTGTTGCGGAAGTCCACTTCACAGGACATTGTGTCACCTGCTCTGGCTCGGGGGGCCTTGAGCAGATGGGTGCCCTCTTCCGTGGAAGATCCTGTGGTAGAGATGAAATAAGTCACTACATGTCAATAACGGCCTGTCGTTGATGTATGGGGAACAATGAAATGTTCTCGATACGTTCAGTTAACACAGGTGGTCTAACACACGTACGCACGCACACACGCACACGCACGCACGCACACAATGATAGTTAGTCTCTGCAAATATATAATTATGATAAGAAATAGCCCGACTTAAACTGGTTTGCAAGAGTGAATGAGTTTAGTTTGCGCCGCTTTTAGCAATATTCCAGTAATATCACGGCCTGGATCTTCGGCGTGACGAGCGAACGCTTTAACCACTAGGCTACTACAGCACCCCTTCTTTGCGGGAAGGGCAGGCGAAAGGAATAATACTGTGGTACAAGGAGGTACTTCGAGGAACCATGAGACACACTAACAGAACGAAAAAGCTTGTATTTCACAAACGTACCATGTCCTGTTGGATTTGATGACAACCTCTATTATAATTATCACTTTTATCATCAACATGACAAAGGCAGCAAAGGTACTGTAAGTCCCCATGGTCCCTAGTTTGGTGATCTACGTTTAGTCGTTGGCGATTAATTGCCCCTTTTTTATATTGTATTGTCCAAAATAGTCATATAATTTTAAGATAAATGCTAGTTTTAATATCTCAAATTGTGACATTCCAGTTGTTTTACGGCCCTTTGTTGACAGATTTTATACTCTGTTGTTAACTATGCTTAACATATTCCCTGTTTTAGTCACGATATGACTGAAATATTGCTGCTGTGACTAAATTGTAACTCACTCACTCAACATGACAACGTGTCCCGAATCGACCCATCAGAAATGACGAAACGTGTACTTTATTATCAACACATTTGTGGATTCCGAGGTGGTGTTGCAGGGAAATTCATTTCCGTAATGTATAGAATCTGGTTAAGTAAACACATGGGTTAAATTTGATAAGGAAAAGGTCAATTTGTTAATGGTACAGTACCCTCCGTCGTCCGCATGATACCCTATTGAGTTGGGCAGCCATCCTGGTTGTCTGTTGCCAGGGTAACGGCGGTGACACACTCCGATAGAGATACAGCACGACTGTCCTTGCTTGGCAATTTCTGAGCGAGAGCAACAATGATATTGATATACGAAAATCACAAAGCGTATCTCTATCTATACTATCGGCGTTTATTTAAAACATCATATTCGGCATGAGGATCAACTGTTTCGTGTTCATGCGCAATTCCATCATATGTAGAATAAACGTACTGGCCCCGTTCCTCAAAGCGATCGTAGCGCTTAGGTGATCGTAACTCCCATACTTTAACATAGACTTACGACTGTCGTAGCGCTACGATCGCTTTGAGGAACGGGGCCCAGGTATATACTATAGCAGTTCACGTGGACAGCAACATATACCACGGAAAGGCGAGTTGAGGGTTCATGATACTAAACTCAGTGTCATCACAAATTAAAGGATGGTCCTAAATATTTTAGTAGTGCATTCATATGGTGGCCAACACCATCCATGTAGGCAATAACACATTTCAAAAGAAGAATGAATTATGATTTAGTGGTACTCAAAACTAGATCTTTTGTAAATAATGTTCACCTGAATGTTCAATATATTTGTGTACAGATTAGGTGGGCAGACTGAACTTACCGATTGAAAACCTGTTACAGATCGGTGAGAGTGGACACTCGGACACAAACTGACCAACGGGGAGATCTGGCGACATGGAATCGTAGCTGGAAAAAATACATCTGTGAAAAATGATATTGCTAACATTTATACATCACTCAATAAATTCGGTGACGTATTACTTGTTTATAATAATGTTGATAACTATACTCATACCAATAATGGTTGTCACCCCCTTCAATGTTTTAATTGGAGAGGGGGTGTGGGGTGAGTGGGTGGGGGTTGGGGTGGGGAGGGGGTAACAACCATTATTGGCATGAGTATATTGGTATCGTACACTTGTGCAGGGGTGGAAATAACTTTGAAATTGCTAGTGTACTCCGGTACAGTGGCACATGTAAACTCACTTGCCCTGATAATTTTTCCACTGTACTGGCCCTTTTCCTGTTGATTTTTTAAATAAACAACTTAATTAGCATTGGAAAGTCAACTGGACACCGGAACAGTTTGATATACAAATTTGCTTGCCCGACAGACAAAAAAACTGGACTCGGACGTCGGGCAATGGGTTAATTCCACCCCTGATTGTGTAGTAGTATCTACACAAGGGATCGATTTACATGGACTTTTCTCAAGTCCCAAAGGGGCATGCATCAACCGGGTTTAGTGTAAAGTAATGCAAATGTTTACACTGACACATAAGTCCAAATAAGTCACCATAAATTTAAAGGTATGTTAATGCCAGTTTGAACACCTTTATCACACGCCTCGGTAAAGTCAAAAGCGACATGCGCCTCTGTTAAATGTGTCGTTAAAGTGAGAAGGGACATGCATCTAGTGTCGGTAAAGCTAGCAGTGACATGTGCTTCTGTTAAATGTGTTGGTGAAGCCAGAAGTGACATGCCTCTCTGTTAAATGTGTCTATAAGGTAGAAGTGACATGCACCTCTGTTAAAGGTGTTGGTGAAGCCAGAAGTGACATGCACCTCTGTTAAATGTGTCTATAAAGTAGAAGTGACATGCACCTCTGTTAAATGTGTTGGTGAAGCAAGAAGTGACATGCACCTCTGTTAAATGTGTATGGAAAGTCTGAAGGTACATGCACCTCTGTTAAAATGTGTTGGTGAAGCCAAAAGTGACCTGCACCTCTGTTGAATGTGTAATAAAGTCTGGAGGTACATGCACCACTGTTAAATGTGTTGGTGAAGCAAGAAGTGACATGCACCTCTGTTAAATGTGTATTGAAAGTCTGAAGGTACATGCACCTCTGTTAAATGTGTATGGAAAGTCTGAAGGAACATGCGCTTCTGTTAAAATGTGTCGGTAAAGCCAGAAGTGACACGCGCTTCTCTTCAATGTGTCTGTAAAGTAGAAGTGACATGCACCTCTGTTTAATGTGTTGATAAAGCCAGATGGGGCATACACCTCTGCTAAATGTGTCGGTAAAGTCAGAAGGACAGGAGTTCCGGTGGTGTATGTGATGGTGATGAAAAATGAAATGGGTAACACGCCTACCTGACAGTCCCTGATGAATGAGATACCCGTGCCTCTCGGCAGAACAAGGAATGGTACACCACGTCTTCTGACTCTGGGACAGACTGAAAGAAGGCAACTACTGTCATAGAGGTCAGCCTAGTTTAGACATGCAAGACAGTGATATGGTATGTTCATTGTCGACAACAAAGTGCTGAAACTGACGAAATATACAAAATTCGTTTATTCAATGAGACATACCGGTTTGATGTGTAGTGAAGTATATAGTATCATACAGTATCACCTACCTTGACATTTGGAGTCCATGGTTCTCGTTCCAGGAGGGTGACCCTCTCGCCGTGTGAGTGGAGGCCCACAACTGGGTAGAACCCACCTGGAGGGACGGACAGGGAAGGGGACGTGTAGATCTGAAGACACAGTAGGAACACATTATTAATATCATGTCCTTGAGAGGGTACGTAAGACCCCAAAATTTCAAAGTAAAATTTAAACATACCAAAATGTTTTAAACGTACCATTTTTGTTATTTTAAGTTTCGGTTAAATTTTCCTACAATCACCAGTGGCTGAGGGGATGGTGTAAATCCAGCAGGTATGCAAAAAGGCACTGTAAGTCCCCATTGTCTCTAGTATGGTGATCTACCTTCGGTTGTTGGTGATCTATAGCCCGTTTATATTTTGTACTGTCTATAGTGATTTAATTTCATGATAGCGTACTAGTTTTAAATTTATACAGCTGTGATATATTTTTTACTTTCCTTCGATGACAGGTTTTTATGTTCCAACTTTCTTGCTTTTCATATTGATATATACTAGATTGTTCTCGTCACGATATGGCCGCAATATTGCCGATGTGACGCTAAATAATAACTCACTCACTCACTCACTTAATATTATGTAACTAATTTATCTTTATACCCTTGTTGTTGATTTGAAACCTTCATTACTTATATGTTTTACTCAAACACCAGGCTGCTGCTGACAAATCGTTAAATCAACTCAGTAAGAGGTCCTTATCTCAGAACACAAGCCATGGTCCCCTGACCCTCTTTGTTAAACATAACGTTAAGTGAGTGAGTATGGCTTTATTAATTCTCCTTTCAGCAGTAAATAATATTAATGATTTGTATGACCGTATCAAAATTGATGAAATCCAACCAACGTTTCAAAGAATATGTATTATACAGGGCTCCTGATAAGGGCCGTATCGGCGTATGTACGGCTAAAAAATATTCACGATACGGAAGGAAATAATTTAGAAAACGTAGCAGATACGCATCACAGCAATGGTGTACGGTCTTAGAATCATTTACAGATGTATTTATCTGAAAAAGTATTGTTTTATTGTTTATTGACCTGTTTACACAAGAATTTCAATGTTGTGGTGCATATATGAAACAAAACACAAGAATACTTATACTCCATTAAATTCCATTCAGGACTCTAAATGTCCTCTAAGGTTTTCCAGTACTCCTGTATTGAAAAAATAAGGAGTACGTACTCTTGAAGTCGAAAAATTATCTGGAGCCCTGTATTATATAAAAATTCGATGAAAGTATTTTGTGAGGCATATTCAAAAACGTATGTAGAAGAAAGAGAATCAGAAAGGCTATACGTTCAGCAAGAGACCCATCAAAATCAACTCGTACTCCGGAAACTTAACTATTAAGTTCAATGGAGTGTTCTTTAAAAATCATGATCTTCCCAATAATAACTGAGACAGTAAACATTTATCAGAAACTTCCCTGCAATCATCACACAGCCACGTCTAAATATTCGGGGCGGTGGGGTAGTCTAGTGGTTAAAGCGTTCGCTCGTCACGCCGAAGACCCGGGTTCGAATCCCCACATGGGTTCATTGTGTGAAACCCATTTCTGGTGTCCCCCGCCGCTATATATTGCTGGAATTCAGTCAGTCTAAATATGCCTCAATCTGTGTTCACGAATAAACGTGAGAGATACCATGAACACATGTTAACGAATATCAATTGTCAACTGAGGCGAGTGAATGAGTGAGTTTAGTTTTACGCCGCACTCAGCAATATTCCAGCTATATGGCGGCGGTCTGTAAATAATCGAGTCTCGGCCAGACAATCCAGTGATCAAACAGCATGAGCATCGATCTGCGCAACTGGGAACCGATGACATGACATGACATGACATGACATGACAGGACGACGAGCCTGACTCCACGATCCCGTTAGTCGCCTCTTACAAGCATGGGTTACTGAAGATCAATATTCTAACTCGAACCTTCAAGGGTTGTCAGCTGAAGCGTCACTTTCAGAGAGATTATGTCTGATTGCTGCATGCTAAGAAGTTATACGTCATGATCGGTATATATCATATTACATATAATTATATACAAAAACGCGCATTTTTTTAAACATTTCGATACCGTCATACAAATCATTATTAATTACAAATTTCATTTCAAACAAAATGCCATCATTGTATATATAATACATATGTATTCCATTTAAATATATCGTTAACAGACTAAAACCAACGCATCGATGTCTAACTTATGTAATATAACATGTCGAATCACATACCGCGTTTCCATTTCTAAAGAATGTGAGTTTGTTGTTTTGGAAATTCAAACTGCAGCCCATCATTTCACCAACTCCGACCCTGCCAAATTTGTTTATGGGTGATCCAGTCGCGAAATAAATACTGAAAAGCAAAATGAAAAGGTGAAGCGATACTTTGATATACGTTTGCTGAATCAGCTAGTCATTACCATTGGGTTTCGATTCCACACATGGGTACAATGTGTGAAGCCCATTTGTGGTGTCCCCCGCTGTGACTTTGCTGGAAGAGTGCTTAAGGCGGCATAAAATCAAATTCACTCACTCACTGTAATATGCGTTACTAAGTCATTATTTAATGCCACAACCAAAAGTTAGAGTTCCACCGTTCTTTGATGAGGCCATACGGGTCTGGCTAACATACACGTTGAAGTATTCCTGCAGTTTTAACGGTATTTTTTCGGTCTCAACCCAAGCCCGCTCCCACCCCTACTCCTGAAACAAAGTGGGCGGAACACCTGTTTACAACCAGTAACCAATGCACCGTGGACTCCGGCTAGTTGCCATAGTAACTTTCTTTGCTTATCCGTTAACTATTATCGAGGTGCTTGCTCGAGAGGGCTTTCCCCATAATGCCGTGAGTCAGTTTTGAACAATATTACAGTAACCTAAGCACTCTCGGCTCAATGGCAGAGAGAGGCCATGAAGGATCGCGGATGTTTATGGATTTTCGGAGAGGTTGAATACTATGACGAAAACCACGTACACGGATACGTATATACTGTTTATAAATAATAATTTTGACCTACTAATAAATACTAGGTAACTAAGCGCGAACAATCATTTCACGATTTATTGTGTTTCAGAATCAGTGTCATTGTGAATGCTTCCTTGTGTGTTAGTAAACTAATCAAAACCAACTTTAATATAATGGAAATGATTTCATTAAAAAATCACTTATCCAATACTGACAGTACAACACTAGTCCCATACTAACAGTACAACTTGAAAGCAATCGATGTCTTTTTCATTACGCAAGCGATTTTTATAAATATATTCCGTACGCATTTGTTTTAAACTGTTTG